TTGTTTTTTATTGTTTTATACAGTCTAGTTAATATTCTCCCCATTATTTTTGTGGCAAAGAGAGAAACAAATTAATTACAATAAAAAATGATTATGATTGTAATGTCTCCACTCCTGTCATTTGTGCAGCAATAAAATGGTATGAAAATCCTTTTAACTCAAGGACTCCTGTTCAGCTGGAATTGTAGTTCCTGTTTCATGGAAAGAGTCGACAACAGTACCTCTGCAATTGAGCAACAGTGCAGAGAGAGTTATAAAAACATAAGATAAAAATATTGATACTAGAAAAAACAAAATGTTTTAGGTTACACTTTCTTAAAGTGCCTCTTTTATTTAGTTCCTCTCCACATCCCTTTCTGAATCAACTTCTTCCATCATTTGTGTCTTCCTCCATCAACTGCATATTCTGATAAGCACTCTGCAAAGCACTTTATGTTGCTCTAGAAATAAAGTTTGATTGATGATTTTATTTAAAAACGAACACAACAACACATTATTTGTAGTGCTACATTTATCTTATTTGGACATATTTTTTGTCACCCGTTGCTGCTGTTTCTAGAAATGCGCGTTTAAGGAAGTTTATCCCTTACGCTTTCCGTCTGTTGTCATGGAGACTGTGACGCTATGCAGGATTATTCAGATTGGCTTTAGCTAGCTCTTGCTGTTGCGGCAGTTTGGGTGTTAATGTCCACAAAACATTAAGAGTGGTGGCGTAAAGATAATGGCGGCGGCGTTAGATGCTCTCTGGGAAGACAGAGATGTTAGATTTGACATTACTGCGCAGTGAGTTAATCATCATTTGGGAATATTAACCGTAACATAGCTAGCAAGCTCACTTCGCTCCAGAACGCAGCTAGATGGCTAATCCAAAATAGCTCCCATAATTAACTGTTTTTGGTTGGTTGTTGATTTATTTTCTTTAATGTTAGCTTTTTATCAGAGTTACCTTTTTTCTGGGTTTCAGAGTTTCTGCACTGATCTCTTACACCTAAATAAATAACCTATGATCATCTTCCTGTGCTCAGACAGATGAAAACCCGTCCAGGAGAAGTGTTGATCGATTGTCTGGACTCAATTGAAGATACGAAAGGAAATAATGGAGAACGAGGTAACTTTGCCATTCCCGTGTACCATTAATGCGTAGCTGGTGTGATTTGAGTTATAGAATAAGGATTGTCTCCCTATTTCAGGACGGCTCTTGGTGACAAACCTGAGAATCATTTGGCACTCTTCGGCTCTGCCAAGAGTCAACTTATGTGAGTAAAACTAAATGTCTGAAATGGTAAATAATATTCCTGAATGCAGTGTGGTTTATTAGGTTCGGATTTGACTCAAGAAGCTTTTCATAAAACATTTTTATCTACAATACTTCTATTTCATATAGTTTGTCAAATGTAAAATGTGATGTTTTCTATTATTTTTATTAGCTGTTGGTTATAACACTATTATTAACATCACAACAAGGACTGCAAACTCTGTGAGTAACCTTATTTTTCACTTTCTTAAAGTTTCATTTGAACTTTCCTGTGGATTGTCAGTAGTTTTTACATCTAAATTTAATTTGGTTTTCTAGAAACTGAGGGGTCATACTGAAGCACTCTACATCTTAACAAAGTCCAACAACACGAGATTCGAGTTCATTTTTACCAACCTGGTTCTCGGAAGTCCTAGGCTCTTTACCTCAGTCATTGCTGTACACAGGTAAACAAAACTGAAGGAGGGTTATATTTTAAATTTAGTAGGTGCCTTATTAAGAGTTTGACATTTTATGTTTCGCAACAGGGCTTATGAGACCTCTAAGATGTACAGAGACCTGAAACTGCGAGCTGCTCTTATTCAAAACAAGCAGCTTCGACTCTTGCCTCAGGAGCAAGTATATGATAAAATCAACGGGGTTTGGAATCTCTCCAGTGATCAGGTACTGCTGTTGTTCAGTACCTGAGAGAGAGAGCATAACTACAGTAGAAGTCAAATTCATATGTATCCAAGATTCTATGTATGTCACCATTTGAAATGAAAAATTTTTGTGTAACATGATATTCTTTTGTAGGGTAACCTGGGAACCTTCTTTATCACCAATGTTCGGATTGTGTGGCATGCCAATATGAACGAGAGTTTCAACGTCAGCATTCCTTACCTACAGATTGTAAGATTTGATTCTGATGTCTTGATTTTGCTTAGACCAAGGAGTTCATTTCATGCACAAGAAAAACAGCTAATTTATAAATGTACTCTACAGTGGACATCGGGACTTCTTTTTTTTTTACCTTCTTACAGGAATAATTGAGTGAGTCTCTACATAAATATATGACAGGATGATAATCCAGGAGTATAGGATGGCACTGATAGATAGCTTTAGAAGAAGAGTTGGGTGAAGTGTGCCGTAGTCATTACTTTGTATAATTTCAAGTTTTTGTTCCCATGGTTCAGCACACCTGAATTTAAATGATTTTATTCATGAACATGTCACAAAATGTAAAGAAAATAGTTTTTTTTTCTTTCTTTGCAATCTGTTTTTTATAAACCTTTCTATAGCAGAAAAATCAAATTTAAAAAGCAAATCCTTTTTCTGGAACTGTGCCCAACTATGTTAATTTGCTTAAACTTGACAGTGGAACATGGATTAGCATAAGCACTTTAAAAACACTGTCATAAAGCATAACATACCAGGTGAAATGTATGGTTATCGAGTGAATATGGCAAAAAAAAAGTCTGTGCTGTAAGCCTAGGGCCTATTTAACTAATAATTTTCTGTTCTTTCCAAGTGGTCGATCAGAATAAGAGACTCAAAGTTTGGCCTGGCTCTGGTGATTGAAAGTTCCCGACAGGTGACGTTCTCATAATACAGGTTTTCCTCTTCTTGCTGTTATGATATAATAATAACAGCGACCTTGCTGTTTCAGAGTGGAGGATATGTGCTTGGGTTTAAAATCGATCCGGTGGAGAAGCTGCAAGATGCTCTCAAAGAAATCAACTCTTTGCATAAAGTTTACTCTACAAACCCAATCTTTGGAGTGGATTATGAAATGGAGGAAAAGGTAGGCGAACATAGACATCATTTTTAACGACAACAGCCTTAAACATATTGCTATGGCAGCAATAACATGGTTTACCTCCAAGCATATTTATATGTCAGAATGATTCAAAGTCTAGAAAGAAATCCCAAAGGGATAATGTGGTAAGACTTGGAAAACTTAATGATAACAGTGCATGTGCAAAACTGGTAGAGTCACGCCTCAAAGAGTTGCAGCTGTAGATGCAGTGAAAAGCTGCCACACTTTTCAGGTTTTGTTTGTGAAGCTTTTGAAAATGTGCTTAGTCACCAATGAACTTCACAATTACTCACTACTTTGTTTAAGTCTCTAAAATTTTAAGTTTGAGGGGTATTAAGACTTTTGCAAGGTATTCTGGAGATATCCTCTAACATTTCTCATTGTGCCGTTTTCAGCCCCAGCCGCTGGAAGAACTGACTGTGGAACAGCTTCCTGATGACGTGGAAATTGAGCCTGACGAACAGACCGATGCGTTCACTGTGAGTGAGAGCCTGCTGCTGGCCTTCGCCACACTGGTCACTCCTCTGGGAGTCTAAAGCCTGTCAGACTCTCACAATAACTACGAGCTAATGCATGTCAAACCAACAAGAGTTCACGTTGCTTAGTGCTTCTGTCTGTGTTGCTCACCAGCAACAATGATCTTACCTTAACAACTAGAATACACTGCTGATTGCAATAACTTTAATAACCTCTGTATGTGTTTTTTTTTTTTCCAGGCCTACTTTGCTGATGGGCACAAGGTAAATATAGTCATGAAATAAACTCAAGTTTTCAGCTCATTTTAAAAAATGCGAGAACCTGATATCTTTGTTGTGATACTACAGCAACAAGACCGTGAAGCAGTTTTCTCTGATGAGCTTGGCCTCGCCATTGAGAAGCTTAAGGATGGCTTTACACTCCAGGGGCTGTGGGAAGTCATAGGCTAAAACAACGTGAAACATCTGTGTTCTCCATGTACAGACAAGAGTGCATTTATTTATTATTTATAGGCCAAGATTAAAGTTGCATAGATAATTTATAAGGTACTAAATTTCATATCTGGTAAAAAAAAAAAAAAAAATAGTAATTTGAATTGTTTGCTTTTTTGTTTTGCTTTTTTTGTAGTTTTTAAATGCTGTGAAAACAGGGTTTCCATGCAGCCTGAAGAAGTGTGGAATTTCTTTCTTGTCCCTTCCTTATGTCTTCTCTTTCTTCCTCCATTTCTCGTTTTCCTTCCTTCCTTGTTTCCTACCTCCCTATCGACCCTTCCTTCCTTTCTTATGGAAGAAAGGAAATAAGTTTCTATGTTTTGGCCATAATTAAAGTCTGCTCACTTCTGAAATGTCTGCCATAAAGTTGTATTAACATATAAATGTTTAGCAACCCTATAAAAGCCTCTTAAGAATAAAATCTATTTAAGTAAACTGTGGGGTTGGAGTAGCATTTCTTAATGTCTAATTAAACATCCACAGACTGAATAGGTCTGTATGTGGCCTGATTACAAAGTTGTTCAAACATTTAAAGAATGGAGGACAAGCTGCCACCTCCTGGTGTGGCTGCAGTTCTCCAACCTGGCTGCTGATTAGAGGACGTCCCTTTAAATGTCTTACCAAATCTCACAAACTGAAGCTGGGTTGTCACTGCTATCAATGAACTCTGAGCCAACATGGGGTTGCTTTCATTGTACCAAAAATACTTCACAGAAGATGTCAGCCACATGATTTGAGATAATATACAACATTGAGAATAAACCAGGTAAGTTTTCCTTTTAAAACTGTCTTCCTCTCTAAAAGAAAGCCACAGCTAAATTTAAAAAGATTGTGATATTTCTGTGTGGCTGCTCAACAACGTAGAGGTGACGAGGCTCCACAGTTATTAGGGGTTTTGTGACAGCTGTGTGAGAGCTCCACTTTGGCCAACCTGAATTCTTCATGGTTGGGCTGGTGGGCTATATTTAGGAGGCCACGTTTATATTGAAGCGCCTACAGACCTGTGTGCCTGTAGTTTGCTGTCTTCAGCCTTCCTGTCTGAAGAGAATGGACGCCCAAGGGCTGAGAGAGGACCTCCGTCTGTTTCAGAGCACTCTGTTGCAGGATGGACTCAAAGAGCTGCTGAATGAGAATAAGCTGATTGACTGTGTCCTAAAGGTTGGGGACAGAAGCATCCCCAGCCACCAGCTCATCTTGGCAGCATGTAGCCCGTATTTCCGGGAGCTTTTCTTCTCTGTGGATGGCAAGGAAGAGGACAGGAAGGAGGTTGTTTTGGAGAACCTTGATCCTAACGTTATGGAGGTGATTGTGAATTACCTGTATTCGGCTGAGATCGACATCAATGACAACAATGTCCAGGACATCTTTGTTGTAGCAAATCGCTTCCAGATCCCCTCAGTGTTCACGGTTTGCGTGAACTATCTACAGAAGAGTCTCACCAAGAAGAGCTGCCTTGCCATCTACAGGCTGGGACTGATGCTCAACTGTGCCAGGCTGGCCATGGCAGCAAGAGATTACATCGCCGATCGCTTCGAGACCATAGCCAAAGATGAGGATTTCTTAGATCTCGCCCCACCTGAGATCTTTGCCATCATTGGCACTGATGCGTTGAATGTTGAAAAAGAAGAAGCCGTGTTTGAGGCTCTCATGAGGTGGATCAGAAAGGACAAAGAAAAGCGAGCAAAATCCTTGGACGAGGCTTTCGAGTACATTCGCTTCCGTCTACTTCCAGAGAAGTACTTCAAGGAAAAAGTGGAGAAGGATGAGCTGATCAAGGCTGACCCAGAGCTCCTCAAAAAGATCAAAGTTATAAAGGAAGCATTTGCAGGGAAGCTGCCCGAGAAGAGAAAGGGTTCGGGTGATGATGAGGGAGACGAGGGGACGCTGCCAGGTTACCTGAACAACAGTCGCAGGTATGGCATGCACGCTAAAGACGTGATCGTCATGATTAACGACACTGCTGCAGTGGCCTACGACGGCCAGGAGAATGAGTGCTTTCTTGCTGCAATGTCTGAGCGAATTCCCCGAAACCATGTCAGCCTCGCGACAAAGAAGAACAACCTGTACGTGTTAGGAGGACTGTTTGCAGACGAGGAGGATAAAGAGAACCCACTGCAGTGTTACTTCTACCAGGTAGAAAAGTGTTGTTTGATTAAAACAACAGTACTCCATTTTTAAAACATGTCTATACTTTCCAGCTGGACAGCCTTGCTGCTGAATGGCTAGCCCTGCCACCAATGCCGTCCCCCAGGTGTCTCTTCGCAATGGGGGAATTCGAAAACCTAATATTTGCTGTGGCGGGAAAAGACTTGCAGTCCAACGAGTCCCACGACACCGTGATGTGCTATGATACTGAGTAGGTTTGGCATGTTTAACATTTTGAGTATAGTTTTAGAGAGAGCCATAAAGCAGTTCTGTGTCTTCTGTTTTTAGAAAAATGAAGTGGACAGAGACAAAGAAGCTGCCTGTGAAAATCCACGGCCACTGCGTGGTCTCCGAGAATGGCCTGGTGTACTGCCTGGGAGGAAAAACAGATGAAAAGTGAGGTCACAGTGTTGACATTTTTTTTTTTTTCTTCCATTAAATTAAAACTCGACTTTCACTAAACCCAACCTGGACAATGTTTTGTCTTTTTGCCAAAAGTAAAGCAACCAATAAGATGTTTGCATACAACCACAAGAGGTCAGAGTGGAAGGAGGTTGCTTCCATGAAGACTCCTAGATCCATGTTCGGGGCAGTTATCCACAAGGGGAAGCTCATCGTTGCTGGGGGAGTCAATGAAGACGGACTGACGTCAGCGTGCGAAGCCTACGACTTTGGGACCAACAAGTAAGTGCTGGGTTTTAATTAAAAATATATGATTTATTATTTAAAACATTTGAGTTATTGTACTGTTGTCTATAAGTCTTCCTTCATGTCTCTTGTGATCAAATAGGGTTTCTTTGGATTATAACGGTTTTTATCTAATATTCAGGTCAGTAATTCTTAGCTCAGTGTCAGACCACTTATTTAGTTTTAACCATTTAACTCTGACATCTGAGTCATTCAGACAAATAAAAGCTTTCTAAAATCAGGAGATGAACTGAGGTCGGCTACGAACCAGTTGGGAACGCTCGCAAAAGAAACCGGCTTCTAAGGCACTTTTTTAATAGCAGACTGACACAATTTATGCAGTTAAATATATGAAATTAGCAGACATACACAGTCTGTTGGCTTAAGACTTGTCATACATCAGAAAACCACCTGGAAGATGATTCATCTCTGAGGTTCTATCAGATTCTTGCTGGAATTTGTATCCCAAAAAGAAAACTCTCTTGTTTATTATTATATGAAGTGTAATAAATACATTATTATAAAAGAATAATAATTAAGAACATGTTAAAAATAAAAAAACAAAGCAGGTAATGTCTGAATGAAAAACTTGACATGCCTTAGAAAGACCTGGATAACTATTCCTCAAAAACAGCTTTAAAGTTTACTAAACCTCAAAATAAAGCAAATATGACTGCATGTATGAATTAAAAACATGTTCAAATAAAATTAATCATGTTCAAATCAATGGGTAAATCTTTTTTCTATGTATTTGATAGAAAAAATACATAGAGTATTGATGAGAGTATAATACACTCTCACTTTGAAAGACTTAACCAAATTCTACATAAAGTATTTACAACAAGAAAAACGGGGGGAAAGTTTTCATTTTCTTCAGTAGCTCAGAGATTGTCGTCAGCTGAACAAGCAATATCACTTCCTACTGATTTGAGAAGGATATTCAATCTGAATTTTATAAAATAATAATCAATAAAATACCAGCGCTCAGAACTGTGTGTGTTTTGTTGGAGGTGGTCGCCTTTCACGGAGTTTCCCCAGGAGAGGAGTTCGATCAACATGGTGAGCTGTGGAGGGCTGCTGTACGCCGTGGGAGGCTTTGCCATGGTGGAGAACGAGAACAAGGAGTGTGCACCGACTGAAGTCATTGACATTTGGCAGTAAGCTTGGGTTTCTCTCCTGAACATCAGTTCATTCTTTCCTTTCATATACATCAGTAACTTCTTTTACTGCCTGCATCAGGTACGAAGAGGACTCCAAACAGTGGAACGGCATGATCAGAGAGATGCGTTACGCAGCTGGGGCCTCGTGTGTCTCCATGCGCCTGAATGCAGCCAGAATGCCCAAACTGTAACACGGGACCGTTGTGCTATTATTGTGTGTCGTGATCATTTTATTTACAAACTCCTAGCAGAAGATGGGTTTCGTAGTTTTAATAATCAGATAATTTTACTATCCATGCTGAATTTTAGTTTGATTAAAATGTTGAAATATTTTCTCATGTTATGCAGTTAGGGAACTTGTTCTTATTGTTGTGAAAGCTTTTATCAATCTTATATATATATATATATATATATATATATATATATATATATATATATAACAACAACATAGAACTTAGCTTAAATAAACGGATTTAAGTTTAACACTTAGTAAAATAAAGTTTATATATTTGAGACAAATCTCTGAGTTTCCTGACTGATTTTAAAATCAAACCTTTCAAGCTGCTTTTCTACATAAAAATTAATGGGTTTTTTATGAGTTGGGTTTCAACATATTTGTTAAAATTATCATTATGTTGAGTGTGGTGTTGACACAGGGGACGTGATCCGTGTATGGAGACTTCCGGTCCTTGACATGGTCGCCACGGGTTCGAGTCCCGGCCTGTTGACATCTGTTACCTCTCTTACATCCCTCTTTCCTATAAATCTACTATAAAATAAAAGCCACTAGAGTCATGGCTAAATTGTGACAGTATGAGAAAGATAATCGGTGAAATAAAAATCGAGCTCTTCCACTGTATGCTCGTTTAGGTGGAGTGACTTCTGCAAGTCAAAGACTTGATGCCATCTGCTGGGCTGGGATAGAAAACTTTTTAAGCTATTGCCATATAAATAAACTGAATAGATTTGAATTTAAATTAATTATTGTAAAATTTGACAAAAAAAACCCCACTATGTATAACAAATTATTACTTTTCAAAGCCAAAAACACCATGAAGATAAATTCATGTTATAAACCTTCACCCATCCAATAAACACTGGGTATCACTTCCCATTTTATTTTTTTAAAGTTAATAATACAAAAGCACATAATTCACTGTCACTCAACATGAATGAGGTAGATTCATGCCAGCTAGACACATTTACTTAAAAACAAGGAGCTCCTTCTAAAGTAACACTTTCTGTTCAGATAATCTGCTCCGACGTTTACAAAAGCTGTTGTTAAGTGTCACTGTCGCATAAATAAGGCTTCAGGAAGAAATTTATCCCAAGATTTTGTTTCTGAGATACCTCTTCCATGCATGGGGTGTAGAAAGCTCCATGGAGTTCCATTCAAAGTGAGGAATCTGGGAAGGAAAAAGGACACAAGCACACACTTTCATGTTTGTAGGACGATCATTTCTATACCGCACTGGCTAATGTTCTTACCTGAACAACACGATATCCCAGAATCTCAAGGTGTCTCTTTCTCATTAAGGCTTCACCTTTCATATGATGAGAGTTTTTGCAGAAAAACTTGGAATCCATGAAGTCGATAGCGACGCTATGAAAAAAAAAAAAGAAGAATAAATTAATCGGTGGCTTTATCTCATTTTTAATAGTTTTTTCAGGCTGTATTCTGTGGGTAATCTTTAGAAAATGAAGTAAATATCCAGTCATTACACCAAAATACAGAGCCTTTGAAAAAGTTACAGCCAAATACTTTTATGCATTTTATTGGGAATTTATGCGACATGTCAAAACAATTGTGAAGTGGAAGAAAAATTATTCATTGCTTTCATTTTTTTCAACAAATAAGTGTGATATGCCTTTGTCTTTAGCCCCCTTTTACTCTGACATCACCAAATAAACTTTAGAGTAAGGATTTGCCTTCAGGGTTCATCTGTGTGTAATTTAATCACAGAACAAATCCAGCTGTTCTGTGAAGACCTTTAGGATAAAATTAGAGAGCATCATGACAGGTTAGGGGGAACGCAGCGGAGACGTCTAAAGCAGTCCTTCTGTTCATGGAAGCTTCTGCTTCAGTCCTTTAGTGTCAATATTGTTGCAAATGAAGACTTTGGTATATATTTTATTTGTGTTTGTTATGATAAAGTACAAAAACAAACCAGATGCACACAAAGTGTGTATCCTCACCGATGAGCTCCTGCCGGAAGCTCATCTCGGGAGTTTTCCAGTGAATTTGAGTCCCACAGAACCTTTCCTCTCTCTGAGATCTGCAGCGTGCTCGGCCCAGAGTAAGGCAACGGCTTCAAGTGTTTGTCTAGTTTACATTCGAAATCTGAAAATGCAAAGAATAAAATTCACACACCCCAGAATGAAAGCAAACCTCTCACCCCTTTAAGAACCGCTGTCAGACAGACTTAAACTTACACATCAATCTCGCTTTCTACGCTCACAAACCGCTAATACCGGATAATATCCCACTACAATACTTCAGTTTGTGGTTCGAAAAAGTTTGAGGGGTAGGAATATTGTATGTGCAGCTTTTCTGTTTATCGGTGAGGGGGGAAAAAAAGGACAATATTACTGCTATACTCACCTATGGTGTAGAAATACGGTGTGACGACGGCTGCTCGGACAAAGTTAATGCCACCAAGAACCCCGCCCAACATTGTGTGGATCTGCTGCTGCACTGGACTGACGGAGCCATTCACTAAAACACATTTACACAGAAAATGTTTCATATATTTCAAAAGGAAACAGGAAAACAGGCCTAGCTCCGATCGCTCACCTTTCTTTTGCAGATGCTGGCAGTAACGCTCGTGAAACCACGGCACCTGAAACTCCGGACATTCCAGACACACGGCCCGATTGAGCTCCATGAGGCGCTGTTTCGTCCTCATCTTGAGGGAATCATGCAGGCCTGTAGGAACATAAACACTTCATTTCACCCCGCTGGACAAAGACTTTACTTACTTTTCATGCTGGACATGCAGAAGCGGGCCTCTGATCGTACTTTCCAGCTGGCAGTCCAGTTTTCCAAGAAAACCAATGCTGAAGATTTCTCTGATTAGTTCTTCGGGAAAATGGTCAGCCAGAGCCAAGCAATATGCCAGGAGGACAAGCAGATGAGGGTCAAAGGAGCCTAAAACATTATAAGTAAAAGATTATGAGTGTATAGAGTTACAATCAAAGAGTAGAAATTGGTGCTGGGACATTTTACTTACTAATGTGAGGAGTGAAGCGCTTAATACAAACATCATAAAGCTCATCTACGTGAGCAGGCTCATAATTCAGGACAGAAAATGGTAGAAGAGTGGGGTATGTGGCTGAGAAGTGAATCTTATTGAGAAAAGAAAAAAATATATATTAGGGCTGGAACAATCAGATTAATCAATTATTGGAATAACTGTCAACTAATTACGTAATCAATTAATAGTTAGCTGGAATATATAGACTCTAAAAAAGGCCATTTGCTGAAAGAACAACATAGTCAGAGCAGTAATTAAGCCAAACTGTACAAAAAAAATACATGCATTTTGCATTTAGGATAAAAAAAAATATATTTTTCTTTAAATATGTTTTACCAATGACCTAATGTGTTTATTTTCTTATTTAAAAAAGAAATGTAATTGTTTCTTTATTTGCAGATTTTAATGCATTTCTTATATTGTATAAAAAAAAAAGAGGCTTAAGTGGTTAAATGAAAAACCTGCAAAATGTCCCAATTTTTTTTATTTTTATCCAATGAACTGATTAATTGATACAATAATCCATCACTAAAGTAACTGTTAGTTCCAGGCCTAATTAATGCAGACGCTAGTAATCCAGGATTAAATGTTAGGCTGTGTCCTCCGGTACCTCGTCAATGTGTTCTATGGCCACACTGGCGATTCTCTCCATCAGTGGAGGATTAAGTCGATTGATTCTGGTCAGGAAGAAGGCCAAGTCAGCAATGTTGCTCGGGTTGATCTGATCGATCATCCTGTTGAGCGTGACGAACGTCTCTTCCAGCAGCATCTCCTCGAACCACTCTCCTGGGGCGAACTTGATCTCTTCCAGCACCAGGTCCAGCCGGTCGGCCGTCTGCAGCCTCTCGCGGCCGCATTGGCTCAGCCGCTGCAGCAGGCGGACGTACTTGCTGTGGGTGTTGTGTCGGTACGACGGATCAGTCCGTATCCACTTGGCAACGGCAAAGGAGATGGTATTGAGCTCGCTGAGATTGCACTGCGCTATCACGTTGTCCACGTGCTGGGCCACGCCCTCGTCGAGCCGTGGGCTGGGCAGCATGGCGAGCACCCTGGTCAGCATGGTCACCTCATAGGGGTAGAAGCTGCGCTGCAAAAAGCTGCGACAGAAAAACGCCTGTCAGCGCACTTCTGAAACTGGAATGCTTAAAAGTAAGTCAATAAACACTAACCTGACCAAAATGGTTCTGAGGGCAGCAAAGAGTTCTGGGTTCTGATAATGCAACAGGAACAGGGCCTGGGTGATCCGGGCCACCTCCACCGATCTGTAGACAGGGAGCTTTTTCTGGATCACTGATGTAATTCTGGGAAATAATACAGAAGCAATTAAAAAAAAAAATACAAACTACCATTAATCCATTCATTAGGAAACAGGTTATTTAGGAAGAACTGACAGAGAGAGCAACTTCCATGGAGGATGTCTGGAGGATACAGAGATGTCAATAAAGAATCTCACATGGTAATAAAAGAGAAGAATTTCTATGAGTTTTTCAGAGCAAACGACTAAGTACTGACTCTCTCCCTTCTCATTCCGAATATCTTAATTCAAAAATATATATACTCTTAAGAAATGCAAAATCAAAATACATATTTAAAATGTGGAACCATCACAAATATTGCTTCTGCTGATGGAGCAAATGGAAAAAAAACAAAAAACATTCAGATATTCTGCTTCCAGGCGTGGAATCAACTCTAAAACACGCTGCAACAAGAAAAACTTGTTTCCTCAAAGGAGTTTAAACAAATGTTAAACATGCTGAGAAGTCCCACAAACAAGGCAAGGCCACTGATTTTGCTGTTTTTATTTATTTTTACTTTTTTTGAGGAAATAAACTCACTTGTTCAGTAAACTAAGGTTTCTGCTCTGACTCTCCTCCAGGGCTTCAACGACGGCCAAAGCCTGCTGAGCGCTGAACTCATCTGCCACCAGGAAGGTGGTGTTCTCCAACCTGAGAGGAAGCACACAACATAGTACACAACATCCATTCATCAGATTGGATGAATGGATAACTTCCACTCAGCAGTACCAACCTTTCTCTGATCTCCGGGCTGCTAATTGGTGCCAGAGCGGCAAAAAGTTTAGAGAAGGTGTAAGGGTCTGTGCTTGTGTCGATCAGCTCAATCAGCCTTTCTTTAGCTGCCAGCCTGAAGTCACAGTTGTTGAACTGAAGGGACTGATACAGACCCAAGATGATGCTGAGGTTCTCAGCGTCCAGTCTGGGAATGTTGCGCAAGAAAATCTCGTTGCACTTATCCAACAAGGGTCGGTGAGTGTACTTGACGCTGCGTAGAAACTGCACCATCCTTCTTGGAGTGTTGTAATTCAGGGGATTGTTTGTGTCCAGCAGACATTCAGCCCTGCTGATTAGAGCGTCCCGCAGCCGCGTGGACACGAGGTTCGACACGCTGACCATCAGAGCCGCCAGGACCCTGGAGAGACGAATGTCACCAAATGTGTGCAACATGAGATTGCTAAAGCAATTGTGTCTCGTAAAAGCATCCATACAGCCTTTACATTTTCCATGTTCTGTCGTGTTGCAAACACAAATGTCAAATGAGTATATTGGGATTTTAAGTAAGAGGCAAACACAAAGTTAGTGGATAGTTGTGAAGTGAGAAAAAAATACATCTAGGTTTAATTTTCTCTTTTACAAATGAAAACCTGAAAAGTGTTGCACGATTTTGTTTTAAATCTCCCTTACTCTTTTTTTTCCCCTCGTTAAATATTAAGTAAATGAACACCAACACCATGACTGACCTGGCATTGTCTATGGATGATAACCTCTGGTCCAAAATGTTGGTGATGTGACCCATCAGAGGACTGCTATGGAGGAGCTGATCATGTAAAATCACTGCAAACTTTGACAGAGATGACATAGGAAGTCTACAGAAAAAAACACAATGTGTTAAAAACAAATGGCAAAGTAACCAAATGTTTAAGGTTCCAGTGACTTTCATTTGATTTAAATGCTTGTGCTGAATTTAATAACTCTGAATTTGCTCTTTTTGGGGGGGATGGCTATGACAAATAGTTTCACATTCCACTTGGGAATCATCTGTGTATTTTATTGGCAGCTTTATCTAATCAGCTTTATAACTCAAAAGAAACCAATATAAATGTATTTAAAATATACCCGTCTACTCTTCGCCAAGCTTCTGAAACCATCTGTTGCACAAGGCTGTCATGTGTTTCCACACTCAGCCTGCAGAAGAGAGAGCAGTAGGTAATATTGTATTGTATTGTACTGGAATTTCAATAAATAGTCAGTAAGGAAAGAGCCTATATACCTGAGGAACACATAAAGCATGTCGACCAGTGTTAAGTCATCCATCAGAGAAATTTTATTCTCCGCCAAAACCCGGAGGGTCAGGAACTCCGGGTGGCACTTGATGAGGTGGACAGTCCTGAGCAGTTCAGGTCTCTCCTTCTGAAAATCCCACAGCATCCTCACAGCACAGCTCACGTGTTCCACAGTCAGCTTGGTTCTGTTCTTCCCCACCACATCAAGCACCTGGTCGTCAGTGGAGCAAACCTGCAGCCCCTCCAGGACATGGTCTCTATTCCCCACACCCAGATGGAGGAGTCTTCTGAGACAGGGCCTCACACACTGCAGTCTGAACATGGTTACACACCTGGGTGTGAGCTAGGTGTGCGCTGAGGTCTTCATTGCAGTGCAGCGGAGAGGAGGCAAGATCACAAAACGGCGCATGAGTGGTAAGATGATGCTCTTTCAGAGGCCTGTCTTGTAAAAAAATAAATAAATAAAGGGAAAAAGGCAGGAAATACATTGAAAGTCACAAGGTTTATTGTTCTTTTTGATGATTTTGGCAAACAGCTAAGTGAAACTCAAAATTCAGTTTCTCGGAGCATTAAAATATTCCCCAACACCATACTAGGAATTTTAAGAAGCTGGCTGTTTTCATAGTTTTGTATCAATGCATATTAATGGATTCGTGTCCAAAATATGTTTAACTTTATTTAACAAGTACATAACAAATGTAGCTTAACTGAGTACGTGTTTAATATGTGGTTCAGGTCTTATTTTATCAATTAAATTAGGTATACAGAATAATTTATTACATTTTTCAATTGCAATACATAAACAGTACTAGATCAGTCATTTTCATACTTGCAAAAAATGAACTAAGTTTTGCTTAAGGTCAACGACTAATTGTTACATGCAAGTACTTACACAGTTCAGTCGGACATGGCCATCGTATCTGTCAGTGGAGTCGAATAAACAGTTCCTTTAAGTCATAAAATACGAGTTTTAATTCAGATTACAGACCAGATCCTCACGTGGGTACACGAACATCACCTTAAATAACCTCCATATTTGCATAAGTGTAATTTATCTTTTGGTTTTCTAGATTTATAGAAGAAAAACGGCATTATCTTTGTGACATAAGTAAAACAGTCATTAAAATGCCTCAAAGTCAAAATTACATAGCATGTGTGCTGAGAAGTTTTACTTCCGTGGCAGGTCATGCACTAAGTGGTTTATTTTCCCCTGATATTAGGTTTTCAGGCACAAGCGCTTGTACCTCGTGGTAACCATTGTTCAAATGCTTAATTAAGTTGCTTTCGTAGCTCTTGCCTTTGGTTCTGATAACGTAAATCAGACAATGTGATGTTTGTAAAAGGTTTGTACGCTTTATTTTGAGAAAACGGTTTTGCTTCTTTGGGAATATTTTTCCTGTCAGGAAAATTTCAGGGCATAAAATTCCCCCAAGCGTTCACTGGCTCGCCACTCTAGGCAGACACCAGTTGACGTTCCTGCCGCGCCATCTTTAGAAAACAGTGAGCTCAATTCTGAATGAAAATACGCTTTTCGTCGCTTGTAAGAACTTCTCGCTGTATGGACTGAAATTTTTGTTTTTCCAGGTTAAGTATTGTTACATTATCTACGTATACTTGTCTGTTTTTCTAAAGTAGTGAAACCGAAAAGCTCCCATGAAGTTGTCAAACCTCTTCTGTGTGCGTGTATGGCTGCTGCAGACATTAGGCGAGTTTTTTTGGCTAATGCTAACGGCGGGGCCTACATGGGAGATCGTGTGTCAGTGTGACTATGCTATGCACTCCGCAGACCTAACCAGTAGATAAACGGAAATTAATAGAATATTCAGTCTCTCTATTCAAGTATCCACGAAACTGCTCCAACATTTCTAAAGATCCAAAGCGCTATGTAGCTAAAGCTAACCAGCTAGTCGTAAAGAGACGTAGAAACAATTCAGCTTCAAATTGTTCAATTATATCTTAATCCATATGTTGCTACAGCGTAGGCTTTCAGCACTCAATAGTTTTTTTTTATTTGCTAAGTTTTAAGTAATTGGCGTGCGTTATCTGCGTTTAATATAAAGAGCTCAGAGGTAAATTTAAGCTCACCCTGTAATTTCATTTGTTTGGTTCAACTGCAGGTGTTTGGGAGAAACTATGGGGATCAAGGTTCGCCCTCGCTGCTTCTTTGACGTCGGGATCAGTAATGTTCTAGGTGAGAGGAATGTAGAATGTATTTTTTTTTTTTTTAAATCAACAGTGGGTGATGGGATTGCGAGATTGTCCTTTTACATAGAAAAATACATCTTCAAGCTTTTTCTTCTTTTTCGGCTTTTCCCTTCTCCATTTATTCATATCCTCTGCATCCTCCACCCGCACTACATCTAACCTCCTGTTTTCTTAATATCCTCTTTGGTCTTCCTCTCACCCACCTGCCTTGTGGTTCCAAACTCGGCATCCTTTTGCCCATCTTTATCTCCAAAACATCTGAAGGTTGCTGTCTCTCTGATGTACTCATTCCCGATTCTGCCCATCCTTGTCATTACCAAATACAACCTCAAGATCTTCAACTCTGCAACCTCCAGTTCAGCCTCCTGTCTTTTACCCCATTGGCTCTGATTCTAAACCATACATCATCACTGGTCTCGCTGCTATCTTGTACAACTCTCCTTTCATTCTTGCCGATACCCTTTCATCACTCCAACCACTTTTCATCACCCACTCCAACCTGGTTGCACAGACTTCTTCACCTATTTTACACACTCTCTGCTGCTCTGGACTGTTGAATTATCAGAAGTCCTTTACTTTTACTTCTGCTCCCTGTAACTTTACTTTTCCACTTACTGTTCATTAGGCTTTATGTTTAATGAGTCAAAGAGTCCAAAACATGGTTGTTGTTGGTGGATTGACTGGGAGAAAAATCAAAAAAAAAATTCAATATTTAAAACTTCAAATTATTAAAACTTTACAATTGGTCTAAACTATACTGCTCAAAAAATAAAGGGAACATTTCACTTTAATTTTGTGTGTGGCTCCAAATCCAGGCCTCCATTGGTTAATAAATTTGATTTCCATTGATGATTTTTGTGTGATTTTGTTGTCAGCACATTCAACTTTGTACAGAACAAAGTATTCAATGAGAATATTTCATTCATTCAGATCTAGGATGTTTTTTTTGAGTGTTCCGTTTGTTTTTTTGAGCAGTGTATATTTATTAAATATGTCTCCCAAAAACAGCGAAAGCTAAGTATTCAATCCTGACTCACTTCTAACTTATTGATTCTTCATCACAGTTGGCAGAATAGTGGTGGAGTTATTTTCAGACATCTGCCCCAAAACCTGTGAAAACTTCCGATGCCTCTGCACAGGTGAAGGACTTCTCCACATTCTTTTTTTTTTCCTACAAATTGATCATCTTCATGTTACAAATCAGTTACGACAATGGACTGTTATTTCATTTAGGCGAGAAAGGCATAGGCAAAGGAACTCAGAAGCCCCTGCACTACAAAGGATGCCTTTTCCATCGCATTGTGAAAGACTTCATGATTCAAGGAGGAGACTTCAGCGAAGGTGAGATATAAAAAGGCAGTGAGTGAAATACTTGGTGCAGACTGGTTTGAGCTTCATGTATAATGTCAACATAGACCCAATACTGACCGTTTTCTTCCTGTCACTGCACGTCTTCCACTTGCTCTTAATTTTGTAAACAAATGTCACTCATGTAAAAGTGTTAATTTTTACATTAACATCTAAAATAGAATAAATAAAACCAATTGGTTATTACCCCGAGTTAATTTGTGGAAACAACTTTGTAAATACAGGCGCATACAAGGACTGGAATAGTATCTAAATTTATTCACGCATACTCCTGGTCTGGAAAAGTATGAAAAAATATAATTTGGTTCTGCAAATATTTCTTTTTCTCTGTTCTCTACAGAATAATAATAACATCTAGGAATGGGACTTTAACACGTTTTCATCGATTGATTAATTAATTACATGGATTTTAGCACATTAATGCAATTAACCCCATTCTTTCTTATTGTCAATAATTTAGCACTAAGAAGGGTTTTTTTTAGTAAAAAATGTTGCTTCTTTCACTGAACATCAGTATACATAAATGGTCTCAGAGAAGAAGTGGCCAGGGTAAAATAAGTGGTAAAATATACCTTTATTTCAGAACATATGAGAAACATATCTTCTAATGAATTGTAAGCAACTAGCATCTGATTGTACTTTATTCTTCTTCACCACAGGAAATGGAAGAGGAGGTGAATCCATCTATGGAGGCTTTTTTGAAGGTAAAGAAGCCACCATCAGAGCTGTGAGATGTTATCAAACACACTGTTGGCTTCAAGATGGCCGAACAATCCTCTCCTTTCCCCTCTAGATGAAAGCTTTGCTGTTAAACACAACAAAGATTATCTGCTGTCTATGGCCAATCGGGGCAAAGATACAAATGGGTCACAGTTTTTCATGTAAGTGGCTTTTTATTGTTTTTTATAAATAATGTCAGTTTTATTTTTTGGTAGTACTTATCGAACAAGTTTACACATTCATTGGCGATTCTCTTCACTGACCGTCTCTGACTCTTCAGAACAACAAAACCCACGCCTCATTTGGATGGGTAAGAAGCACCTGATTTTATTTCTAAACACAAACTGATTGTGCTGTCAACATAAAATTTGATTTACCTCGTCTGTTTTTAGTGTCCATGTGGTTTTTGGTCATGTCATTTCTGGCCAAGAAGTTGTTCAAACAATGGAGAACCAGAAAACGGATCCTAACAGCCGGCCGTACGCTGAAGTGAAAATTCTGAACTGCGGAGAGCTCATCCCGAAATCAAAAGGTTTGTTTGGATCTCTGGGTTTTCATAAAAAACTGGTATAAACGCCCTAAAACTGATTTTAACAACATATTTTATTGTTCTTTTTTTTCTTATGTTTTTTGTCTTTTAAAGGAAAGAAAGCAGATAAAAAAAGAGAGAAAGCCTCGTCCAGCTCCAGCGGTGGCTCATCTGATTCTGAAAGCTCCTCGGATTCTTCCTCGGGTTCAGAAGAATCTGAAAAAGAATCCAAGAAGCGAAAGAAAGAGAAAAAGCTAAAAAAGAAGCAAAAGAAGAAGGAAAAGAAAAAGTACATCATATTTTTGCGTGACTTCTGACTTTAATGTTTATTTAAAAAAAAAAAAAAAAGCAACTTCTAAAACAGGATTTTTCTTTTTCTAGGTCTGTTGAGGAAACTGCTGAAGAGAAAGAACAAGAAGACGAGGTGACCTCCACTGTACGGCCTGAAGAAATCCCTCCCATCCCAGAGAACCGGTTCCTCATGAGGAGAAGTCCTCCACCAGCCGAGAATCCAAACAAGGAGGACGAAAAGGACCCGAGGAAAAAAGAGGACAGATCCAGACAGAAGTTAGTGTTTCATAAGCTGTCGCAAGAAAGGAAAACCTGAAGTAATGGTACTGTGTTTGCTTGACCATCTTGTTTTTCTTCATTTGCAGCGCTGGCTTATATAATTCTCAGTCACCATATCAGAGGCGATTTCAGGTTACCACTCGATCAGGAAGGAAGATAAAAGGGAGGGGACCGAGGGTAAGATTCGAAGAGCTCAGCTAAAATATTTCTGCTTTCTATAAAATCATTACTTTAATTTTAAATATAATGCATCATTATTCAAATTTCCGTGTATCTTTTGTATTATTTCTTTTAACATTTAAATTGGATATACTTGGCTCATAAGCAGTTCCAGGTTTAAGACAAAAAAAAAATCTTAATTTTATTTCTTCCAACAGAGGTACCGAACTCCATCACGTTCTCGTTCAAGATCTAGAGATCGATACCGGCGTAGCGAAACTCCTCCACACTGGCGCCAGGAGATGCAGCGTCAGAGGATGAGGGCAGTCACCAGAGAGCGATGGATTAAGGGGGACAAGTAAGAACGGTTTACTTTATGAACAGGTGGAGTTTCAGAAAGAGGACGTGTGCAGGGTGTGGGTGGTGCGAGGTTGCAGGGACAGCTATAGCTTTTAACATACTGAATTTTAATAAAATACTTCATCATTAAAAGGTATGTATTTTATGAATTGAAACAAACTACAGATACGATTTGTTTATTTGACGTGTACAATCAACAAATTTTGTCCCTTCATACGTAAAATTAACAATATTGATGAGCTAAGATCATCTAGGTTATTCAATATTTTCAGACCATTCAGGAATAGACAATATTATTCAGAAATCTTTCTAAAAACTTGAGATGTAATTTTGGGTTACATATCAAATTGTCCATTACCTTACTTACTGTTTTCCATTTATTTATTACAGAAGTGACTTTATTGATGCTAAGGATGAAGAAGCTAACGCTCCAAAACGAGAGAGAAGGATGTCCAACACAAAAGATGAACACACAGCCGAGGGCAAAAAGGAAAAGAAAACTCGGTCTCACAGGTCTAAAAGCAAAGAGGGCAGTACTGCAGAGAAGGATGAGCATCACAGCAAACACAAAGCGAAGAAAAAAGAAAAGTCCCGCAGTCGCAGTGGAAGCAGAGAAAAGAGTAGAAGGTCAAAAAGCAGAGAGAAGGCCAATAAGCAAAAAAGTAGTGACAGAAGAGGGCGCTCAAGGAGCAAAGAAGGACATAAAAAAGAAAAAGAACCGGAGGCAGATCAAAGTAAAGATAGAAGTAAAGGCAAGGAATCTGATACGAAGCATAAAGGGGGTAAAGAAAAGAATCAGGAGAAAACAAAGGCAAAATCAGCAAGCAAGGAAAGATCCAGCAGCAGAAACAGAGACAAAGATAAAGACGAAAAAACAGATAAGGAAAGGGCCAGAAAAAGAAGCAGGAGTAAGGAGAGGGAGAAACAGAGAAGAGGAACATCCAGGGAGAAGGACAGGCGCTCCAGAAGTCCAGACAGGAGTAAGACCAGAGACAGAGGTAGGCGCTCCAGGAGCAGAAGCCGTAGGAGAGACCGCAGCAGAGATCGATCTTCTCAAAGAAATGACAGAAGCAGGGACTCTACCAATCGGAGGAGGCGGCGTAGCAGCAGCAGCAGCAGCAGCAGCAGCTCCGACAGTGATAGAGCAGAAAAAAGGAAGAGCCGAAAAAGTCCCGAGTCTACAAAGAGAAAGAAATCCAGAGACAAGAGAAGCCCGGATAGTACAAAAGGCAAAGATAGAAAAGATCGCAAGAAAAGTCGGTCGAGCTCTAGTTCCAGCTCCGACAGCGACTGATCACTTTGCTTTTAACTAACAAGCTAGTTCCATCTGCAGATAAACCTAATTAGTCCTCTATTCAGATCTCCAGTTTATATAAACTGGAGCAGACATCAAAAAAAGAGGAAAAAACTAACATAACTCCTTCTCACATGTGTAACTACAAACTGCTGCTTCGTGCGAACTCTAGCTGGACCTGAAAGAGCGTTGTTTTAATCATGGAGCTGGTTAGAGGAACCTGTAAGGCTGGCAGAAACACAATGATCCAGAGCTGACGTTTAATGTGAACATAAGAAGCAAGTACCCAATAATATTTTAATTTCACATGACCACAACAGCTCACACAGATTTGATTCTTTTTATTTTGGTTTTGCAGAAACCTTGCTGTCAGTCTGTTTAGTTAAAAATAAAAACTATTTTACTGCAACTTCTCTCCATTTTTACTAAGCAAAAGACCTGGAAAAGAAGATTATCTTGCATGCTCATCCCTGTTTGATTTATTTAGATGAGATACTTGTTTTTTTTTTGTTTTTTTTTGTTACTCTGCCAAACCTTTACTGTAATTCTGTCATCTTTATTTAGAATGGAAAAAAATGTACAATTTCTTTCTTGGAAGAAAATGTGGGAGTGCTGATTAAATTATAAAGCTTGGTTTCTTTGTTTTTTATATCCTGTAAGAGTCCAAAACATTACTTCAAATCAAAATGACAATAATAAAAACCTAAACTTGAATATGTCACCTGGCTGAGACTGTGTCTTGGTGATGACTTTGATACATGGAGATAAAACTGCTTATCTGCTCAATGTTGACCGCTGGTTATTTTAGATTCTTAGCTTTTCCTGGTCAACATACTGTATAATCGCTGTAGGTTTTCTCCATTTTTAAACTATAAATGTAAAAGTTCACTTTGAAATTACTGCAGATATTCCAAGAAGTTCAGGAAAACTTTAAATATCGGACAAGGAAATGGACACAACATTCAAATACTGATACAAAGGATAAAATCTACTAATGCAAATATTATCCATATTAGGAAATGGAAAACTTAAATTCAAGACTAAACATCCCAGAGTTAGACTTTTTACCTAAAATCTTTCCAGATTTCCGTTTGAAAACATCTCAGTTTGAGACCAAACAGAATTCAGTTATACAATGAAGCAAATGTGCACCCTGAAAGAAGTGAGCCCTGCTGTACCGACGTTTGATCTGTGACGGATAATTGCAAATCAACACACTTTATCTGATTAAAGAACAACATAATTGATTACTAAAATAATAGTTGCAGCCCTAGTTTTAATCTTTAAAAAAAAATTTCACCAGGTGAAGCCCAGTCTCTTCTTCGCCTCGTGAATGTCTCCAGCCTCATTAAGCTTTCTGATGCTTTCTGTGGTGATGGACACGTATCTGGGCATCTGGGCCCCAGTGCTGTCCTGGACGAGGTAGCTCGGCCTGACGCCGCTGAAAACGGGGCCGTGCCCACCTCCCACTCCTTCTCTCGTGGCTTTGTAAAGTGGAATCAAATTTCTCTTGGCCTCTGCTGCTGCCTTGATGATGTGCTGTGAATACTGCTGAAACTTGAGTTCTTCTTCAGCGCTGAGCTTTGCGTTCGTTGCTTCGAACTCTCGTTCCTCGTCTTTCATCTGCTGAAGTCTGGCGCTTCGTTCTGCCTGCATGTAGGAGAGAGCCAGGTTTCACGTTCAGACGTCAGCAATCATAAACGCTGAAGCGGGTAGTGGTGGAGTTTTTCCAGCCGTTACCGTCTGTGCGACGTTGAAGTCGTGCAATTTTCTTTGTTGTTCTCTCATTTTCTCAGCCTTCAGTTGTTGCTTCTTGGCGTATATTTTGTCGGCTTCTCTCTTTGCCTCCAGAGCATCTCGGGTTTCCTGCTCTGCAGTTTTATCCAGGTGCTCCTTTTCCTTTTTCTGACAAAAAAATTTGTATTTAGAAAGTTGTTTCTAAAACAACCATCGTGTCAAGTATTATGAATGATGCTGCACTACCAAAAGCTTCCTGTGTGCAGCTGTCGACTTCAACATCTCAGACTTCTTCCGCTCCTCCTCCAGCTGCAGCTGCGCCTGTCTTGCGTCCCACTCAGCCAGAGCTTTAGCGATCCTCTGCTCCTCGTTTGTAGCCTGCTCCTGCTGCGTGGCTGTCAGCTTGTTCAAAATCCTCTCTCTGCGCTGCTGAACTTCACTGGAGAAAAAAAAAAAAAAAAAAGACTCAAATGAGCAACTCAAATGAGAAATCCCAGCAGATGATCTACAACAAGTGCATCTTTCCACCACACCTTTTCCTTCCACTCAACTTTCCATCAGAAATAATTTTGGTATCAGTAATTTTCTACTGCACAACTACACAAGCAGTCTTCCACATGATTATGTAACCCATCTGATGGCTGTTATGCATTACTGGTCATATGTTGTCATTGGATGCAAAATCACTTAAACTGATATAAAGACTTAAAATGGATCCCTTTCTGCAGTGAATACGTGGGTTCAACTGTTTAAATTGAATATCAAAAATATGCAAACTTTTCAGTAATAAATAAATCCAACTGTATTTAATGTTTTGCAGGACCTAAATAGCTCTTTCTCTCTTTGTTTCCGTAGCTTTGTCATGTGTTCCTTGGTTGAAATAAAGAGTTGCATCTGCTCCTGTTCAGCCTTCTGCTTTTGCGCCTCTTGCTCTTTTCTTAGTGCCCTGTTATTGAGATGATCCTGAGGGACACAAAAGATACAAATAAACAGACTGTAAAATCTGGACGCAAAGGATGAACAATCTCGTCTTTTATGATTGACCAGGTGAGCGTTCATGAGGTTCCTCTTCTGGTCTGCTTGCCGCTCTGACTCCATTCTTTGCTCCCGCTGATAACGCTCTTGAAGTTGCTGGATTTCCTCAGCGTCCTTCTTGATTTCCAGCTTCTGCTGCTCCCGCGCAAACTCGTTGGCTTTTATCCTAAAAAAGATAAATATTTCTGATTTAGAATAAAAAAAATTTTTTCAACATTACTAAGAAGTCCAACTAAAGAGGTGAAGTGGTGCGGCTGCAGGGACGGATTTGGTCTTACTGGTTCTTCAGGTCTTCTGCTACTGTCTGTCTCTCAAGCTTCTTTTGCACAGCCTTTTCCTGCTCTTTCCGCAGGGCTTCACCGTTTCTGGTTGTCATTATTTCCAGGAACTTTTTATCCATGTCTTTAGCGGCACTTTTCATCCTTTGCTTGAGCTCTGTCTGAGCCTCCCTCTCTTTCAGCACCTCTGTGTGCAGGAGTGCGCGCTGTGGAGGTAGCAACATTGAGTTGTCACAGATCTAATTAGATGTAATATCTACGGTGCTGAACTGTGATGCTTGTACTGACGTTTAATCCTTTCACCCGGTCATTTTGATAGTACAGCTGAGTTCTGGCTTTGGTCAAGGCCTCCTTTTGCTCTTCTTCCCTGTATTTGGCTTCCTCTGCAGCCATTTCTTTCCTCTTTTCCTCCTCCATCTCCTCTCGGATCTTCTTGGCCTCCAGCCTTTTCTGCCTTTTACCCTGAAAACAAATGCAAATGTACAGTTTGGTTCACGTTTCAGGTTTAGATCTTTAAGAAACAGCAACACCCATGTCAGATTTTACACTGAGTCTTACAGCAATGGTATCAGGCCACAGCTTAACAATTTCCTTTGACTGCAGGTGCAGGGCCTCCCTGTGTTTGGCTGCCTCTCTAAGACGCTCCTTTTCTTTATCGATCCCGTTCATTTCATCTTGAATCCTGTGCCAGCCAGTTTTCCTTAGGATGGTGATTTGTCTGAGATCCGGAGGCTGGAATACTTTGTCTTTCTTTCCTGGTTGAAAAAGTGCAAATAATGACATAAAAAAAAAAGAAAAACAGACCCAGTTTCTAACATTTTATTGGTAATTTTCATGTTTTGTCTTTTACTACAAAACAGTTTTAAGTCATGGATATATCACTGTCATGGATAGTGGAACGACTTAGGTTTCTACTCTGAGTGTTTGCACTTTGCTATGGTAACCCCTTTGTTTGCTTTTCTAAACCCTCCAAGGGGCAAATTGACCCAGAATGTACTAATGTACTAGACAAAGGGCTGCAAATATAAAAACACAACACATCATGCCAAATACACGGTTATGTAAAAACCCCTTGAAACTTTTCACATTTTGTAACATTGCAACCAAAAACCTTGATGTTTGGCATTTTATGTGATTGACTGTAACGTCTGAAGAAGACAAATGCCTTTCAAAGCTCACAGAATGCTGGACAGTTATTGAACATATTATTGGACATATTTTCTGTTGATGTTGATCATGTGCGGTCATGATTACAGGGTCGTTGTCCTGCTGGAAGGTGGACCTCTGCACCAGTCTCAGGTCTTTTCCCGCCTCTAACAAGGTTTCTTACAGGACTCACTTGTAATTTACTCTATAGATTTTTCCATGCACTTTGACCAGTGGACCACTGATAGAAAGCATCGCTGCTTCTCTGATTAATGCTCTCCTTGCCCAGTCTGTCTGTCATACTCTACGCATTTTCAGAAAAATGGTGACAAAGTGAGAGGTTTTAAGTATGGAATATTACTTTACAACCTAACCCTGAGGTCTATAACTAGTAGTAGCTGTTCTGTCCTCCTGAACTGTGTATCTCTGCAATTCCTGCAGCGTAATCATGGTCCTTTCTTTGCTTAATGCTTACCTTGTCCATCAGCAAATGATGGAAATGATGCAAATGATAGGTCGATTGACATGAAGAATTGTTGTTTTTCAACCTAACTCAGTTTTAAACCTCTCTAAAGCATTATCCATGACCAGTCTGGTATGTCCCTTGGTCTTCATGATGAACTTAATATACAAAATTACTCCAAAAAGCCTTCAAACAGCTGTATTTACATTGAGATCACAGCACAGTGTGCAAGGGTGTCTGATTAAAAGGTAGTGAATAGAAATGCAGAATTTGACTTGTAAAAGTGAAATTCTGTTGTCTGCTATATAAAATCGAAATCAAATGTATTGGGATTTGTGATGTAATCTGCAGAAAAACTGAAAAGTTAGTATTGTTCAAAGGCACTGTAGAAAATAAATGCAGTTGTATTACTTTAGCAAACAAATTGGTAAATAAATAAACAGTTCTAATGTACCTTTAGAAGTCTAATAACAATGCAAACATTTACAGAATAACAAATCAGGATTTCATTAAAAGTAGAAGATTTTCGGTTTCCCTTTGCTGAGACACATAATTGCAACGCAAATTAGACTTAGCTCACTAGATTTGGGTAACATAATGTCTATTGAGACATAACATGTCACCATATAACAGCTCAACACCAATTAAACTTGCAAAACCTTGGATATTTTATTTAATTCTCACCGCTTTTACTGAACAGTCTGCGACTCCCATCGCACGGAGCCATTGACGCCATATCTAGTTGTTGAAGTCGATTTAAACTTCGTTAAATCATAAATCCCAAACTCAAATGTTAAGGATTACTGTCGCGTTACAAATAACCGAAACTAAAGACCATCGCCGAATGGGGTATAAATTCAGCTCTGTTCTTACTAACAACCAATCGCAAAGATCGTCCCAACCTAAACAACCAATCAAAAGCTGTTCACGGTGAAACTTAATATTCGGGTGACCCTTCTACACGGCTTCTGTTGAACTGTATCTAGGCAACCGAAGAACCAATCACAGTCCGCAGAAGTGTGACGGCTAAAAACGCCATACATTTTATAATTAAACACTGAAGTCATTAAAACATCCACATAATTAACGTGCTACTATTCTGAAATAAATATTTAAGTAAACATTTTTGATAATTTATTGCATAATATGCTTTGAACTACATGGTTAATATTTTCAGTTTGTTTACAGGGAGCACTGTAGCCCAACAGAGGTCATCTCAATTCAGTTTACTGGCCATTTCCATTGATATCAAATCCAAATCAGTTAAGCTAAGTTTCAAATGACCAGTTTTGGTTTGAATGTTTGACCTAAACTTTATTAATATTGATAGATAATACTAATAACAATCCCAGTAGTAAGCTTGGATCATTAAATAGTGGATGTCTTGGCTGTACTCATTTCAAATAATCATATAAACCCTGACTTGCAATTTAGGTAGCATGATCTTAGCAACAAATGCTGTAATATATGTTATTCAACAATCTTTAATTAAAAGTTGCCTTGTCACTGTTCCAACTTGATTATTTACAGTTTTTACAGCGGACTCTTTTTTGTTAGTTTTTTTTTATTTTTACAGATCTGCAAGCATTTGCCATTTTCAAGCCTTTTATGAGTGCAAGCCCCTGCACTGTGGATGGTGGCTGTCTTTACGTTAACAGTCATGCAATAATAATCTTTCAAGAGGTATTGTGCATTATTTTTGAGTGTGAACGAGTGTATGACATATTAAAATATGTTGAAAAATTAAAGTTAAGCGTTTCTGTGTTTTGTTCCTGCTTTTTGAACTAACTGTTGGAAATTTTTACCGCTATCGCAAAAGCCTCAGTTGACATTACCTATCAAAGTACTAGTCAGCTTTTCTCTGTTTATTGACCAAGAAAAAGAAGGCAGTTCACACCAGACGACTTACATTATCAGTTGCAGTTCAAACAGAGACAGATGGGTATGGAACACTAAATGGATAAGGGAGCTGTCATGTGCAGCCTAGTGAGTCAGGCGACCAACATCATCTACTGAATTAAGACTCATGGGACCTAACTCACAGTTCATTTAGAGTAAACGATAAAAAAAAATGAAATAGTCGGTCTTTTAATATTCTCTCTTGTTATTAAAGTAATGGTGTTGGAGATTTTATTGAGCTGTTCTGGGTATGCAAAAGATCTGGAAAATTAAGGCAAGATGTATTTTATGAATTTTTTTCAAGTAAAACTATATTACGATCCACACCAGTAAATTTAAAGTTTTCCTGTAAACCAATAGAGATTTTTGAGTGACCTAGTCAAAGTCAATGACTTTGAACAAGGTATTCATGTCTTCAACCCTCAAAGATGAAAGAGTGAATTAAATTATTTGAGACTTTTAAACATTTCAGACAAAAAAAAATGTCTAGGGGAACATGAATTAAAGTGAATGCAAAATGTTGGGCAAAATTCAGATCTGAAATAAATTTTTAGCTACATGTTTGTATTTTTGGAATATTTTTCAAACTGTTTTCGGTTAGAATATTTACTGTTTGTTTGATCCTTATGGCTTGAGTTTTATAAAACTTGATTAATGTGATGGAAATTCAGTTCAATTAAATCTGTACGCAATATGCTTGCAATGAAAGCACACTTCTTCCAACCACAAATGCGTTAAGTTTCTTGATTTTTCTGAACTGGTTTCCAGTGTGCACGTGCGGTTACGTCAGAACAGGAGATGCACGAGAGGCGGGACCAAGTTAAAAAGGGGGGGTTCGTGGGAAATCAGTGACAGCCATTCAGAACTCCAAATAAGAAGCAGGGAGCGGAACTACCCCAGTGTCCATCATTTCACTACCACATCCAGCAGTGGCCCCTCGGCGACAAGCAGGCAGAGAAAAAAAAAAAAAAACCCTCCAAAGATGGCTCCGATCTGCATCAAAACTGTGCTAATCAGTGAAAGCGTTGACCCTCGCTGCAGGGCGATCTTGGAAGGAAACGGCATCCGTGTCACTGAAAAGCAGAGTATGAAAAAGGAGGAATTAATCGCAGAGATCAAGGTTGGTGTTGCCATCGTGTAGTTTCCTTGCTCGGTGTTTCAAGAAGCGTAAACCTGCTGCCTGTTTGCGGAGGAAAAGTTGCATCAGCTGGAAACGTGCTGCACTTTTCTTGGGAAAAACACAAAAAAACAAACAAAGCGGAGATAATCTGTTTTAATAATTAACTGGGATGTATCGCTGGCAAACGCTTTTTAAATACCATATCGAAATGTGCAAAGTGGCTTCAGCTTAGTTTCGGCCATTGTGAATCTGATGCAACTCATCCCTGAGTTCCCATCACTCCCACATGCTACAGTGGCACTTGTTATCAGATCCACGTTGAGACGAACGTGCACGGGCATTTATTCCAAGTTTTAAAAGAACATTTAAAGTGGATTAATGCCCCAGTAGTGAATTTTCCTCTTTAAACCTAAATGCACTCCAGTGTTTAGGCCCTGGACACTTGGATCCTTGGGTCAAGTGTTAGCTATGGACACCATTAAGCCACCCTCTCTATTACTATTAATATTTATCAAGTTGATTGGTAAAATTTTTACTGTTATTTATGGATTTAAAGAAAAAAACATTTATTTTAAAGCTTTCTTTTGGGATTATTTAATTTATAATTTGAATTGAGTTAATTAGTGTTTACACTACTGTTAAAAAAGTAGCTTTTTGTTTACAATTGCAGGTTGCAGTGTCAACATTTTGTATTGATATAATAAAAAAATTACTTGCCCAGATTATTTTTAAGTAATATCCACCCTCAATACTTTAGTTGAATGTAAAAAATTACTTCAGAATTTTTGGTAATGGAAATTGATTTATCTGAAGAAAGGGGAAAAGAAATGTCTTAACTAATCTTTTGAAGTACCTATATAGCAGAGCGCCACCTATTTGCTTAGTTTTCTCCTCACACATATTATATATTTTAAATGTATTATAGCCAACAGTGCTGATATATTATGCATCCTTTGTGGTATTAGCTTGAAACTTCATGTGCATGATTTAGTCTATTTATATGACTGCCAACATAAATTCAGCAATAACTCTGTGCTTTGCTTCACACTTTAGGACTACGATGGCCTTGTCGTTAGATCTGCGACCAAGGTGACAGTGGACGTTATAAATGCTGCTGATAATCTCAAAATTATTGGGAGAGCTGGGACCGGTGTGGACAATGTGGATGTTGATGCTGCCACCAAAAAGGGCGTAATTGTCATGAAGTCAGTGTGAAGCTTAAGGCAAACATTCTGTGCGCTGTGCCACGCAGTTTAACCCACCGTCCGTTTTATTTCATTTCCAGCACACCAAGTGGCAACACCATCAGTGCCGCCGAGCTGACCTGTGCCCTGCTGATGAGCCTCTCAAGGCAAGAGGTTTTTGTAAAAAATAAACATAAAATAAATAAACAAACGTAGCCTAATATCTATTCATCTGTCTAATGTCATTTCTATGGTCTCTAGAAATGTGCCTCAAGCTACGATGTCGATGAAACAAGGCAACTGGGATCGCAAAAAGGTACGTGGAAATTTCCATCTGCGACAAGTTTGGATTTGGCACGTGCGGCAGTTTAAGTTGCGTGGCTGGCTCCATTGTTCATTCAGTTGTCGGTAATCAAATGCGACAGCTGGTTCTGCTCTGTTCATATTTAGGGTCTTTGTCTTCACTTCTACAGTTCATGGGAGCAGAGCTGTATGGCAAAGTGCTCGGGATTGTCGGGCTGGGACGAATAGGAAAGGAGGTTGCCACAAGAATGCAAGCATTTGGCATGAGGGTGAGTCAAGACAGTCAAACATGATGAGACTTGTGGGGTTATAACACTTACACAAATATTACAAAGCTGTTTCTTTTGTTTTTTTTCTTTTTTGCTTCACACTAGACGATCGGCTATGATCCGATCACTCCGCCTGAGGTGTCGGCGAGCTGGGGGGTGGAGCAGATGTCTCTGGAGCAGCTCTGGCCACAGTGTGACTACATCACTGTCCACACTCCTCTGATGCCCTCCACAGTTGGTGAGCTTCACTGTCCTCATAGAGGATGACGGGTACAACAACGATATGCAGACTAATGCCATGTTGTGTTCTATTTTTAAGGTCTGCTCAACGATGAAACATTTGCAAAGTGCAAGAAAGGAGTGAAGGTCGTGAACTGTGCAAGAGGAGGCATCATCGATGAAGAGGCTCTTCTCAGAGCTTTGGAGTCTGGACAGTGTGGAGGAGCTGGACTCGATGTTTTTATTGAGGTGAAATCTAAGCCACTTATGTCTCTGGAATCGACAAGGTTTCTCTGTAGTTTCTGAAGCAATTTTGTTTTTACTAGAGATGCTTAGAGAAATCAGCTAGTGACTGGATTTTTGCTGATTTCCTGCTTTAATTGTTCCCAATCTGTGGGTGGCAGGTCAAAAACAATAAACAGTTTTATTGCTGGGCAATAAAACTGTTTCAGTCATTTATAGAGAATGCAAAAATGTAATTTATACTCCAACTTCAAAACTGATTGGAAAAAACAAGCTTAAACCAATTTTTCTTCACTGTGCACATTTTTCATACTGATGTGGCATCAGCTCGGATCCTAAAATAAAGAATTAATGACTCTCAACTGAAATGATAGAATAAAATTAACTATCCTGTTAATGAAGTAAAAATTAGTATCAGAAAGTCAACATTTTAAGACACTGTAGTTTAAAAATTGGCTGAAAACTCTGATCCAGTTCTTATTGTTCTGAGTTTGTTGGCTGCAGGAGCCGCCTAAGAACCGTTCTCTGGTGAACCATCCTAATGTCATCAGCTGCCCTCACCTTGGAGCCAGCACCAAGGAGGCTCAGGCCCGCTGCGGCGAGGATATCGCCCTGCAGATTGTGGACATGGTGAACGGCAAAAACCTGGTCGGAGCAGTAAGCGCCACTCGAATGTCCCATGTCTATTTTTTATTTTTATTTTTTTTTTATTATTATTTAAATTAACTTTTTAAAAGCATCTATATTCTTTGCAAAACAACAAAAAAGCTTAAGAAAACAGGAGTAACTAAAATGTGTTTGCCTGCAAAAGCAAGGTGGACTGCAGTGCCTCGCTTTAGCTAAAGGATTCATATGCTGTTAAGCTCAAAAATATTCATGCATTTGTTGAATTTAGGACAGTCGTTTTACCTTTCCAAACAAGCTTCCTCTTTGTTCTGTCGGGTGTGTGGAAGTTCCTGTCCTAATACGCTGACGTACCTCAGAAGTGAAACATTTAGCATCTGAGTATCTACTGACACATTTCCCCTTTCTAGACTTGAACCCAGATGCAACTGGTAAACAACCTTCAGGAAATGCTCCTGAATTTGAGATAAATCTTACTATAATGATCCTGTGTGCTATAGCAGTACATGCAAGTATAAAACAAACAAACAAACAAACAAAATTGTTTTCTTTTAAAACTGTAAATTTTTGTCCTTTTTGTGCAGGTAAATGCTCAGGTTTTAGCCGGCACGTTTTCCCAGGAGTCTCAGCAGCTGATCAGACTCGGAGAAGCTGTCGGAGCTGTGCTTCACTCCTGCAATGCCTCTAGGAAACCGTTCAGTCATGCTCACATCATCACTCAAGGTCAAATTACTAACTGGTCTAGCCTGTTTTCACAATGATCTTAAAAGTAGATCTAATTCCTGAAAGTGTAAAATTACAAAAAGATTCTCTTTTACCTCCCTCTAGTGGTCTAACCATGAAACAAGACAGTGTTTGATACATAAAGAACATAATTGTCTCATATTTACAGTTGGGTAGAGATCTGGTGAAAGGCATTCCTTCCTTTCAAGTTCTCTTAACATCATAAACTGTTATCTGAAATTCAGGGTCAGGGAACTCCATGAAATCCTGTGGGGGGTATTTTACCTCAGCTGTACTTGTGGGACTTCTGAATCATGAACCTGGACGTAGTGCTAATCTCATCAACGTCCAGAGCCTCGCCAAGGAGAGTGGAATAGCGGTAGGAAGTTAACTTATCATAATAAATCCCACATGGCAAATACTTAAATACTTTTCAATTCATGTAGCTTTGTACTTTCAGGTGAATCAGAGCCACTGTGCTTCTGAGGAGGCAGGAGTGTGTAAGGTGGAGGTTGTGGCGGACGGCCGCAGCTACAAAGCGAGCGGATCGGTTCAAGGAGGCGTTCCCGTCCTGCTGGAGCTGAGCGGCAGCGTCTTCAGGCAGCCCGTCTCTCTGACTGGAAATCTGCTGTTTCTCCAGGCCTCTGCCGACCCACAGCTGCTGCCCTCTGTGGCTGGTAAGAAGACGGACGACTGAGTCAAAATTCACCTAGTGCTGCACTTGAAAAGCGGCATGGTTACTTATGCAGAGTTGTGTGCTGGAAGAGGGGTTGCTTTGTAGATTGCTCTTACTATTAAATGTGCGGTTAAGACATAAATCTGCCTGGTGACGCAGTGGAAACCGTCTGAAATCGGTTTAAATGTTACCAAACAAGTTTCAGTTCAATGAAAATTTATCAGTCATCATTGTCCTACTTTTTTTTGCATTGTTTGTTGAACGATCTAAAAAATTAAACCACCATTATTTTAGGCTTTTGGGTTTTTGATGGTTTTTCAAACATTTCTTTGGACTCTGCTCTTTCACAGATTTTCTGTCAAAATCTGTGAAAGATTTTCTGTCAAAATCTGCGGATTTTGACAGAAAAGTGGATCAGTTAGGAAAAGTGGATCAGTTGGGGACAAACTAGGAAATGGCCAGGTTAGGAACAAGCAACTGCTGAATACCACCTGAGCATCAATTTAGGGGAGTTTTGAAAGATTCAATTTTATGTTTATTGTATTTTGTAGCAAAAACATCGACTCATTCTTAGAAATTTGAACCTTTTTCTGCCTGTTCATTAGAAACAAAAGTAGCATTGAAACCAAGGATTGTTAAGCTCAAAATTACTCATACCCCTAAAGGGTTTAGACTTAAAGTAATCTTTTAACACTGGGAACCTCTTTCTTCTGAATGGAAAGGATATAATTATGTCAAGATAAATACTACAGTGTGCAATGCAGTACCTATAAAAAGTATTCACACACATGGATGTTTTATTGCTTTTACAAATCAATCATGATCAACAAAACGTGGCTTTTATTGACAAAGGAATGTTTGTTACAGTGAAAAATGATTTCTACAAATTAACAATTAAACAAAAATATTTAACATAAACTAAGTGACTGGATAAATATTCATGTGGATGCACCGATGACTGCAATCACTGCATTAGTCGTCTGTGTGGATTGCACTTCTTCACTCCAAAATGAGAGAAGTTTCGGGAATAAGTGTTGTTGAGATCAGTATGAAAACTCCAAACTGTTTTCTCTCCCTCTGGTTTCATCACATTTACTTAGGATTGAAGATTGCAATTATGATTTCTAAATTGTAGTGTTCTTTGTTCCTTAAATTCACACCCACGTTTGCTTTCCAATTGTTCTGTTTAGGAGCGTTGGCCTCGGAGGGAGTGCAGATTGAGTCTTTCAGCGCTCCTGTGGACCACACTGGGGACGTGTGGTATTGCGTCGGGGTGTCGTCCCTCCTGCAAGATCTCAACGTCTTGAAGCCTTTGGTTAAGAATGTAGCACAGCTCAGTATTTAAACAGAAACTGAGCCAGAATAACATTTAGTCTGTGAAGAACCCCAGCCTTCTCAAGAGGGCTGAGTATAAATAACCTTTCTTTGTTTGTGTTTACAGCTAGCGGCTTGTTTAGTGGTTGCACGCGTTAACCTTTAAAATTATTTTTATAACATTCCAGTGTTTTTGTTTATTGAATTTGTTGAAGTAAAACCCAAATAAAACGTCTGGCATGAAGTGTTGACTCTGATGATTTACTCATTAAAATGGGGTTTATCGCAAACCAGGACGAAAATTTGAATTTAAACAAACCAAATCATTATATACACACACACACACACACACACACACATATATATATATACTTTGTAGAAAATAAATAGCATTTATAATCTATTGATAACTGATTTTCTAGTTCAGTTAATATTGTTAAATATTATACAAAATTCAGTTTTAGTACAATTACAGAATGTATAGTTGGTCAGTTTAAGAGATAAAACCCGTAAAAATAAATAAAAAATATTCCCACATTTTCACCACTTGCGTCAGAGCCCATAATGCTTGTTATAAAACATATTGGGTCATAATTTACTGAAGTCCAAAGGGTAAATAAATATTTTTGTCTAATCCCGTGTGAAAATTTGTCCTGCAGGGAACACAGAGCATTATTGTCCCCCTAATCCACGTCTGGATTAGGTTAAAGCCTCCGTCGCACTGGAATACCACATTCAGATTACCATGGTAACGGGAAGACTTGGTGGGGTAAATCATGAATGGGCCACGCAGATCACTCCGGCTCCTCTGGTGTCGTTTTAAACGGCGCTGCTCGTTTGTGTCTGATTTGTATTCTGTGCGTGGATCTCCGTCTGCGTGGTTGCTGCTAATGCGCGGTCCGTGAGCGCGTCACGAGACCGTGGGCCGGGGTTATATTTAGGCTCTCAGAGGAAAATAACGGCGCAGTGTCCTCCGAGTGCCGGACTGGCTTTGTCAAAGACCTGGACACTAGAGCGCAGAAAGGAGGAGGAGGGGGTGGCTCTCGCTACTGCTGCTGCACACAAATACCAAAATAGGATCGAGCTGTCTGCGACAGTCCTGAGCTAAATCGAGGCTCATGTGTTTTGGAGAGGAGCGCTTAGAGGAGCGTCGGTGGGGAACAAAAAAACACAAATGGAAATATATAAGGTACGCACATGTTCACTGTATTTTAAGTATGAAAAATGTTACATTAAATTGCTTGCCATGTCTTATTACATTTATTCTTTTCTCTCTCTCTCTAGATATAATGTCTCATAAAAACGAGATCTACACATATGACTTCTGTGACGGGGAGCATCCTACGGAGCTCCTGGAGGCTCTCAGGCATTTCTACATCCGCGGCCTGTTCACCGACGTGACCCTGCAGTGTGGCGAGTCCGGTCAGGTGTTCCACTGCCACAGAGCGCTGCTGGCGGCCCGCAGCTCCTATTTCAAAGTCATGTTCACGGCCGACATGAGGGAGAGGTCCGACAGCGTCATCAAGCTGAGCGGCGTGGACTGCGCTGTGCTGGGCGCCCTGCTGGACTACGTCTACACGGCCCGGGTGTGCGTCACCGAGAGCAACGTGCAGAGCCTGCTGGAGGCTGCGGACCTCCTGCAGTTCAGCAGGGTCAAGCAGGCCTGCGAGGAGTTCCTCATCCGCCTCCTGGACGTGGACAACTGCCTGGGCATGCACACCTTTGCTGAGCTCCATCAGTGCCCCAGGCTGGAGAGGGAGGCCCGCAGAGTGATGCTGAGCAGGTTCCCGGAGCTCATGGAGCAGGAGGAGTTCCTGGAGTTGGACTGTGAGAAGATCAGGTCTGTTCTGGCGGATCAGAGCCTCACGGTGCAGGGAGATGAGGCGCTGATAGATGGTGTGGTCAGGTGGGTGTCCCATGACTTGGATAGTCGGGTTCACTGCGTGTCAGACCTGCTCCACTCTATCCACCTGAGCCTGGATGACATTTACTTCAACACTTCCTTGGAGGTGCACAGGCAATATCTATCAAAAAACGATGGGAAGTTAAAATCCGTGATTGTTCAGGCGATGAGGTCAAATGGCAAGGAGATCCCTCCGAGCAGAAAAATTTCCCCCAGTATGTACATCATTGGAGGATACTATTGGCACCCTCTGTGTGAAGTGCACATCTGGGATCCCGTCAGCAATACGTGGGTGCAGGGGAAAGACATGCCTGACCCCGGAAGAGAGAGCTACAGCGTCAGCCTGCTTGGTGCAAACATCTATGTGACTGGTGGATACAGGACTAACACCGTTGAAGCCCTGGACACTGTTTCAGTTTATAACTGTGACTATGACGAATGGACAGAGGGTTGTCCCATGATTACTGCCAGGTACTATCACTGCTCAGTGGCTCTACATGGCTGTGTTTACACCATCGGAGGCTACAGAGGAGGAGCTCCAGAGCAAGAGACTGAATTTTATGATCCTTTGAAAAAGAGATGGTTTTCAGTGGCCAAAATGATCCAAGGTACAACAACTTAATGGGAAGAAAAACTCAAATGCATTGCATTTAATTTGGATTACTATCTATTAAAGATAAAAAATAATAATAAAATACTGCTGACCTTGAATGCAAATGTTGGACATTTGTATGGAAAATCAAATATAACATGATATGAAGTATGCACTTTAAAACACAAGTTACTTGATACCTGGAAATATTTGCTGTTTAACCCTGAAGGTATCACTATGGTAAAAAAAAAAAAAAAAAGACAACCAACCCCAAGCTTGTAATTGTCAAGTATTGCAAGATATTCTCAACTACATTTATGGCTGGACAAAGGTATTGTTTATTCTGCATTGTCTTCCTGCTGGAAGGTAAACCTGTCATATCTTCTATTGTCAGCTTCCAACTATACCCATGTGTCACACTAGTTATAGTTGATGTGTAGTGTTAGTTTTCTGCCACACATTGTGCTTTGAATGATGGCCAGAGCACATCACCTTCATGCCTGAAGGTGTTCATCCGCATGTCTGATCTTATGGCAAAACTGTAAACTGGACATTCAGTCCTTGCCCAGTCTTTCAGTTTAGGTAAAATATACATTTCTTTGCAGCTGTGCGACGTTCACTTACATTTTCAGACTATAGAACGCGCGCAATATTGTTTAGCACTGCTTTAAACTTCCTAAATTTATCCCTGACCTTACATGTTCCTTCACCTTCATGATGCTCTCTGTTGATCACTGCTCTCCAACAAACCTTCCCAGAGCAACTGCTCTTTTGCTAAAATGAAATTACACACAAGTGAAATCTATTATCCCATTTGGTTGACATCCTAGTACTTTGCACTGGAATTTATTTTGGGGTATCAGAGTAAGGGGGGCTGTCTACAAACCACACCGAACCTTTTAGCGCTAAAACCTATGAAAATAATGTTTCACTTTCCTTCCTCTTTGCAATTAAGTAATGTTTTGTCTTGGTCTATTTCATAAAATCCCCATAACAAACACTGAAATTTGTGATTGCAATGTGACAACATGACTTACAGCTGGACATCTAACTCTCACAAAGCCCCATGTTTACCTCAGAATCTTTTAGAGAAAACCCAACATTGATCCATCCAGAAAAATCAATGAACACAAACTTCAGTCTACAACATTTTAAGCAGGCATCAGATCAGGTGATCCTTATCATCCCTGTTTTCTTTTCAAGGTGTAGGAAATGCCACTGCATGTGTAATGGGAGAAAAAATTTACGTTACTGGAGGCCATTATGGGTACAGAGGAAGCTGCACCTACGAGAAAGTCCAAGTCTACAGACCAGACGTCAACGAATGGAGCATCGTAACACTAAGTCCACATCCAGGTAAGGGTAGTCGAAGGGGACAGAAAAGGAGCATTGATTTGATGTGTTAGAGCTGATTACTTGTGTTTGTACCTTCTGTTTCCAGAGTATGGCCTTTGCTCTGTGTCTCTCCACAACAAGCTGTATTTGGTTGGCGGACAGACGACCGTTGCCGATTGTTACGACACAGAGAGCGACGAATGGCGGCCCATATCAGTGATGAAGGAGAGGAGGATGGAATGTGGGGCTGTGGTGATAAGTGGGTGTATTTATGTAACAGGGGGGTACTCCTACTCGAAGGGAACGTACTTACAGAGCATTGAGAAATATGACCCTGAGCTGGACTCTTGGGAGATAGTAGGGACCCTGCCCAGCCCCACCAGGTCACATGGTTGCGTATGTGTTCATAGCGTCCATTGACGTTTTTCACATACACACACACACACACACACACACATATATATATATATATATATATATATATATATATATATATATATATATATATGTGGAATTGTCTATTCACAACATTCACTAGAGTTTGAAAAGTCTGTGGATGACAAAATGATCTGTTAACCTGTTCACGGTACATTTGCCAAAGTGATATATGAAAATCTCAGGGGTCTCTCAATGAGTGTTGTAGTTCTCTTTTAACAACTACAGAGAACAGACAGAAATCCATTTTTAATAGCAGGACTGGATCTCCACTGCAATTTAACGAAATAAATTACTTCACTCTCTTGAACTGCTCTTGAACTCTGAACGAGTGATTTCCGATAAACATTCAGCACATTTCTCCTTAACATACCACCCTCCATGCACAAGAGGACACCTTCTTTTGTTTATTTTTTTGTTTTTCATTTTCAGTTGTTTCATTATAGATTCACTGATTTTTGGGGGNATNTCTCTCAATCAGGCTTGAAGTATTNAAAAATAAGCATCAACAAATGGAAAAATAAGAACCTTGGTAACAGAAAATAAAGACATTTTACACCCATTTCCTCCTTTCCATTGACCATTTCTAATGTAACAAGATCAAAATACCTATTTGCAAATATATTCTCATCCAAAATAATTGATGTTCTTTTCATATTAACAATTGCATTTCTGGTAATCTGAAAGATAAGGAGACAAAGAAGAGGACCAGAACCATTGCAGTGTTGGCATAGAATGATCATCAATAGGTATTTTTACTCCAGGGCTCAGTTTTACATTCAGAGATGATTGCATATATTGTAAGCTACTTCTAACACAATTGCAAAAGATGTATTTTAGCAGTATTTTTCTAGTTTATCTTTTTATTTTGATTTCTGAATTTATTTCAAACAGTTTAAAAAAAACAACAAACAAGTATCCAGAAAAAAAACAACGTCCATACACAACTGAGAACATAACAATAAGCTTACCACCATTTGTTTGAAACGGATTAGGAATAAGTGACAATTGATTTAATTCTGTCATTTATTTCAATTTAAAGAAATACATATCATTTACTAACTCAGTAATGATCAGAAATGTGTAATTGAAAGAATATTAAGTAGAACTGATTGGTTTTCCAAGTCATCACTTTCATGCTTGAAACAGGGGAAATGCTGCAATGTCAACAAATCAATGCAAGTGATCGGACTTTCTCGAATAGATTTCTACCACTGGTCTTAAAAAAACAACTTACTTTGACTGTTTGGTGTAATAAATGTGTATGCTATTAGGTTTGAATCTGACTACATGAATATATTGTTCTGGACTAGACTGGATTGCTTTTAAATATATTTAGATTAAATTGGATTCAATATAAATAGATGTGAATTAGACCTGTTTGCCTTGTGAATTATCTTGACATAACATTTGTTGTGAGTTGATACATTTAATTGAACTGAATTATTTTCTTACCTCACCTGTTATATTTTTGTATTATTATCAATGTCAATAAAACCAACCATTAATTTGTTCATTGAAACTAAAACGCTGGTGAACCTCACTATGCTATGCCGTGCAGTTAGACAATATTACACCACCGCCTGCTGGTTTCATGCTGAATTGCAGCATTTTGACCTGGAAAGAAAATGCGATGGCAACGCTTTTTGACCCTTGACACTTTCCGTAACACGCAGTTGAACAACGTGCGTGTAGTGTAGTGAAGACTTTTGGTGCTTTAGAGCTTAAAGTGCGATTTACTTACACTCAACATAACGTAAGTACTTAATTTAATCGTACTGAAAATGCTGTAATGTGCTGCTTGTACTGTCGTTTACTAGCTTATGGATTTTAGAGGGACAGAGGAGGATTTTATAATGTGCGTCGATAAATTGTATGCTGCTTATGGAAGCTTACAGATAGTCAACCTGTGCTAAACTTTACGGACTAAAGTGTCTTTTAACTAAAATTAGCATCACTATAATGTAAAAATATTCTACTAACTTAGCTGGCTGTGCATTAATGCCTGAAATGTTTGAATATCCAAAGCTGGTGAATAAAAGCTAAGCTAACAGGATGGTTAGCCTCTTCAAGCTATCTGCCTCTGTATAAGCTGTTTTCATATATTAGGCTAAATAGGGTGAGTTGTCCGAGAAATGTTAATCTCCTCCAGTAGTTTTATGGTCCTTTGAGTCAAATAATGTAAACAAAAATGTATTTGCCAAATTCCTAATAAATTTGGCCTTGTACTATGACGTGAGCAATTATTTTCATTTGTACACAATAGCATAGCAGATTTAATGCCTTCAAGTTACGGTTTTGGTGATACTCATGCGGATCAAAGCTCTAGATAAACACACAAAATTCTTAAAACAAAAGGTTCAGATCTGAATGGTTTAAATAATGCATTTAAGTAGAGTTTCTAGAAATGCATCATGTGGAATTTGTATTTAATCTTTAATTTAAAAAGAAAAATCAAAATGTAGAATTCTGTTCAGTTTACACTTTACAACACATCATCTTATGGTACTTTACAAGATGTTCAGTTCAGCCACACATACGTTCCAATTGATCCTACCTATCAAACAGTACAGTAAGCTCAGATAAGTGTTCAAATTAGTTTAAAATGTTTTCCATTCAAGGAAACTCGGCAGATTCAGATCAGAGTTTAAGACAGAGCAGATACACAAAAAAATGAACTATTCATACAGTTTCAGCTTTCTAATAGTTTGATTTTATATTTTTCAGTCTAACCTGTGCAGTTCTCCAAGTTTTATCATACGAGACCTGCACAGTTTGTCATATCCCAATCGTCATTGCAATGTCAGTATTGAGATACTCATAAGGGAAGTGTTGATGGCAACTCAAATCACCAGTACAGTGCTTAACAGTAATGTTTTGTGTTTTTATATATATATATATATATATATATATATATAATGCAGCCCAAATGAGGATCTCCTTCATATATTTGAGGGTCACTAAAGAATGTGAATTTTATACAGTGTGCCCTGTTGTTCAGTCATAAAATACAATGATACTTAATGTACTAAAGCAGTGGTCTGAACCGATCTGGCCCTTGTCCTACACCAGGGGTGTCCGAAGTCGGTCCTCGAGGGCCGGCATCCTGCATGTTTTAGTTCTCTACCTGGTTTTACACACCTGCATCAAATGATGACTCATTAGAAGGCCTAAGCAGAACACTGACTTGCTGAGGAGGTTCTTACAACCACCAGGGAGAGAACTTGGATTACATGGTGAAACTGCCTCACTGGCATGCAGTCGACATTGAGAGAGCTTTGCTAATGAGCTAATATTGAAGCCAGGTGTGCTGAAGCAGTAATAGCTTCAGGAAGCAGTAATAGCTTCAGGAAGCTGGCCCTGGAGGACTGGAGTTTGAGCCCATGGGACTAAAGGCTTCCTAAAAAAACCCCCAAAAAACTCTTTCCCAAAAAACTAGATTTTTCTATTAAATTGGTTCTCTTTTTCTCAGATTTAAGGATGATGAATTTTAAGCAAGAGAAATTAATATTTTATTCATCCCAGTCAGGAGGGGAATTTTGTCTTAATAGCACAGAGCAACACCCATGACATAAAGATCACCATATATTATGGAACATAACATGTTTTTTTTTTTTAAAGCTGGGGGAAAAGCTTTATCGTATTGAAATATTGCCTAACAATGAAGGCAAGTAACAAGGGGGACATCACTTGAACATTTGCATGTTCTCAAAGAATTGATGAGCTATGCGAAACAACAGATTTAACAACATACATCACCACAAAACGGCTGATTTTCTGTATTACTGATTTCTGCAGAGAAGGATGGCTGAAAACCAAGGAGAAATGTCTCCCATTGAGATGAAAGTGGCTCGTCAAGTAGAGGTAATTCTGACTTAAATATGTAATCCTATTACATTATATATAATATATATATATATATAACATGTCTTATTTTCACCTAGTATTACTTTGGGGATCACAACCTTCCAAGAGACAAGTTTCTGAAGGAGCAGCTGCAGCTTGATGATGGCTGGGTGATGCTGGAGACCATGCTTAAATTCAACAGGTTTGTTTGATTTCTCTTTACCTTTTGAAACTCTAACTTCATATACATATCAGCTAACCCTTTTTTAATCAAATAACATTTGTGCGAGTCGAGGATTGTTTTAAAAAACGCAAGTTACATCCAGTGGTTTAGAAATTCAACCCCAGCAAATCAATAAATACCACAGAGGGAATGATATGAAGTCATGGTGCTTTGGGGTTGCATTGGGTTTCATATTACTGTGTTCTTCATATTCCTTTCGAATATTGAATAAATACAACATCACCGAGCCTCAGATGCATGGTGCTGAATTGAAATACTGACGTTTGAAGAGATTTAAAAAAAAAAAAAAAAAAAAAAAGACACAAGGCGTGTCCCCCAAAATCTACAATCATTTTTTTTGTTTCTTTCATAGTTGGCTCTTTGTAGAAATGTAGTGGCAAAATCTCGGTTCAGACCTGGTATTTCCATTCATTTGAAGTGTTCTCATTATGACTGGGTGGCCATAATACAGAATAGAATAGAAATATCCTTTAATGTTGCACAGTGTTGAAAGCCACGTGTACCAGGAGTAAGTCATGGGTAAATCAGAGAATGCAAATTTGTAGTAAGGTAAACATATTGGAGAGAGTTCTGTGGTCGGGACTGAAACAGTCTCACAATTTGGCAAAATCCTACTGGCTAAAATTGGTAATTGGACTACCTTGCCGACAAACAATATTTAGATTACTTTAATTGCATTGTTGCGTTGTACAACTTTTACCTGTCTGAACAATTTTAATACCATTTCTTCACCTTGTCCTCTTTCAGACTGAAAGCTTTAACTACAGAGAGCAGCGTCGTCGTTTCAGCACTCCAGAAATCAAAGTCTGGCCTCTTGGAGATCAGTGAGGACAAGACAAAAATAAGGAGGTCCCCAGATAAACCCTTACCAGAGCAGAATGATGAATACAAAGACGCAGTGAAACACAGATCTGTGTACATTGTAAGTTTCATACACATTTGTTTGTTATATTCAAGATACTGGTGCCATCTGCTTCAGATAAACATTTTTTTTTTCACTCATATCTAGAAAACACAATTTACTTTAGCAGCCTGTTGTCAATGTTGTAAATCCAGAGGGTTCCTACCCTTTGTTATTGTTTCTGTATTTCTGCAGATTTGAAGTCTGCCTACCATATCTTAAATTTGCAATATATATAAATAACTGAGAGCTTATGGAAAATTCTGTTTGAAAAAGTCTGGAAAGTTTAGAAAATATCCAGGATTGCCATCAGGCAACAACTTTTGAATTTGATTCAAGTTAGGTCATCCATGGCTCATTGTGTGAATTTGTTTGTTTCATTTTATTTTAAAAACGTGACGACCTGAATATTCTAATACGGTAATTTTTTATTCCTAGCATTATTGTTAATGCTGCTTTTTCTTTTACAGAAAGGTTTTCCTCTCGAAACAACTCTGGATGAGGTTCAAGAGTGGCTGAACGAGAAAGGCAGCATAGAGAGCATTCAGATGAGAAAAAACGTCCATCGGCAGTTCAAGGTAGAAGAAAAGCATCACTTACTAGTTTTAGTCGTTAAAAGGTCAGAAGATTTAAAATATTTATTTCATTCGTGTCTTTTGCAGGGATCCGTGTTCGTCTGCTTTGAAACGGAGGAATCAGCGAAACAGTTCCTGGAACGGACGGATGTAAAAACATTTAAAGACAACGAGATGCTCGTCTTGTCCAGGTGAGCTCGGCTGCTTCTCGTGAACAGACTGGTGCCACAATAGCATTGTTGTGAACATAAAACTGTGATGGGTTCATAACCTATTATAACAAATAAAAATTATTTTCTTGCTTTGGATAGAAGGAAAGGAGTCTAATTTCACCAGTATTTTTTTTTTATTTTATTTTTTTTTGCAATTTTGATTATCTTATAGAAACTTTAAGTCTTTTACATGCTTCAGTTATTTCCTTGTTTCGGCATGACAAATGTTGAAAGCAAATTTCACACTTTCCAAGATATAGGAAGCTGGATAAAACACCACATAATGTCCTATTTATAATATCCTTGGATTGTTTTTTCAGGGAAGCCTACCATGCAAAGAAAGCAGAAGAAAGGAAAAACTACAAAGCAGAGACGAAAGCTAAAGCAAAGCAGTGAGTTGGCAGGACGTGGCCTTTTCTATCAGAAACATTGTTGAAAATATCTGATCCACCTTCTTATCTAAACATTTTATAGGGAGAAACAGCAGCAGCAGAAAAACGCGGAGGAAAAAGAAATGGTAAGGTTTCTTAACCATGTGCTCACAAAGCTTCATTTCTGCTTTTGGATCGTTTTTATTGAGATTGTAATTATGATTTGCAGGGTTTGCTTCTGGATGAGCAGACTGGATGTTTGTTGAAGTTTTCTGGAGAGCTCAAAGATGTTTCAAGAGAGGACTTCCATGCCGCGTTCTCTGGGCACGGAAAGATAAAGTGGGTTGACTTCACAAGAGGAGCCAAGGAGGTATGTTGTCTGCAAGGATTCCTATATAGTCTGCAAAAGTACAGAGTTTTATTTCCCCATTATTCAGGTGTGGAACATATGGAAAAAGCAAAGAAGAACATGGAAAATATGTCCTGTCAGACATGCTCTTACTTTGTCCTTTAATTTCTTCTTTTTGTCTGTCCCTTCTTTCCTTTCTTATGTCGGTCATTTCTTCACTTTGCCCTCCTTGTCTGTAATCCTTATTTCCTGACATCAGTCCATCATTCTTGTATCTACCCTTCCTGTTTCTTCATTCCTTATGTCCACGTGTCCTTATCTGGCCTCCTTTTCTTTCGTGTTTCCTAAATTTCCTTACTTCCAACTGCTGTTGAAATTTTTACCATACAAGACTCTGAAGTTAAGTCTGAAAAGTGAATTTTTACAGAAAAAAAATGTGAACAGGAGAGCAGTGGAAGACTTGCTTTTAATTTTGTTATTGCTCACATAAAGGGTACGCTTCTGTTTGATGGGAACGCAAAAGAAGCCTTTGAGAAAGCCAAAGAGGCAAACGAAGGGGAACTGAAAATGAAGGGCAGCAGCGTTACATGGCAGGTACTGGAGGGAGACGAAGAGAAAGAGATGCTGAAGAAGATCATCGAAGCCCAACAGGAATCGTACAATCGATCAAAAGGCAGAGGTACGTTTTTGTCTCCTGGCATCACATTCTAGCGCAATAGTAGCAGAGATGTTAAGTGCTGATAGGTTGGGTCTGGTTGAAACAGGTGGGAGAGGAAGATCCGGCGGCAGAGGAAGAGGAGGCCGAAGGGGAAGAGGTGGCAGAGATCAAGGCAGGACTCAGTTCCAGGGAAAGAAAACGAAATTCGATAGTGATAACGAGGACGACGACGAGGGTGAGGAAGGTAAGTGTAAATATTGATACAACATAGAGGAGCCCATAATGCCATTATATTCTCTGTGACACTTTAAAACAAAGTTGTGAAGTGGAAAGAGAATGCATACTTTAAAAACAAATATTTAAAGTATGCATTTACACACTGTGCGATTATCTTCCTTGTGAAAGAACCCGGTTGAGAGGTTAAATTGATGGTCCATAATAGTTGTGTGAACGAACACCAACTGCTCTATTTAGACTCAAGACGACCTACGCCAAATATCCAACCAGGAATAAAGGTTCCTAGCCCTTAGCGCTCCCACTGCTCTTTATCTCTTCATCTGTATTCATGCTGCTGTTGAAAATCCCTGGGATTTCCAGAGAGCAACTGGACTCAGTTTAATAAAAGCAACAAATTTTATTTTTGAGTTAAATTTCTGTATGTAGATTTTTCTTTCCAATTAACAATTTGCTACATTGTGTTGATCTGTCACATAAAATCCCAATAAAACACACAAAAATACAAAATGTAATAGATTATAAATGCATTACATGGCATTACATATTCTCAGCAGCAGCGTCCTCATTCTCAAACATGTACAGATGATTCAATGTGTCCTGTTTTTCTTGCAGCCCCAAAGAGAGAGCTTGAAGACGCCGACGGTCCTCCAGCGAAAGTTCCCAAAACTGAAAACGGCTCGTAATGTGGAGACGACATCCAGAGTTTTTTTCTTTAGCAAACACATTTATTACAAACGGTGAAAAAATGCAGAGGCAACTTAGAACCCATTCCAGTAAAAAAAATATTCAGGTTTTGGAGAATCGTAGAAAGTCCACCTGGATGTCAACCTGAAGAAACATTTGGAAAACCTGGAGTCAGTTTTCAGCCTTTTATTTTTTGCCTCTCATTTGTATGTTTTCTTTTCTCATCGGAAAGTGTTTTAATTTTAGCACAATCAATGTAAACTTGACTGTCTCATTTCATGAGCGATACCTAGAATTTGTGTGCCATTGGTTTTGTTTGTTTTATTTTGTAGATTTACTCCATTGACTGATGCAAATGTGTCATGATTTTTTTTTTAAGTTTGCATATTCCAGTAGCAAATGAAATGTTTATAAAATAAACAAAATAAAGTTTTGCTTTGAATCTGAAGTGCATGATATTGCGTATTGTTGATGAACTTACCGACTTCTTCTTGTGGAAGCGGTAGGAAGCCGGCAAATCGTACCTCAGTTCTATGAACAAAGAACACAATTAGGATTTAATATTCCTTTGATTAAAAAGGATTGAATTGTCTCACTAACCTGCTAAGACTTCCATCTTCACTCCCCAGTCATTAGCCTTCTTTTGTATGTGCTGTAATCACAGACAGTCAAGCATGTTGGCATCACATCAGACGAGTTCAAATATTCAATTCAAACTTAAATGGATCTCTAAACCGGGATTAAAATCAAATCTGCTTTTGTCACATTATCCATCGTATCCTTGTTCAACACTGGAGAGTGTATATTTAGTGTGATTTGACTTTTAAAATAGTGTGACTTCAGATGAGACTGGTCTTAAGAGAGCTTTAAAGATATTACATTTAAGTTATGGAATAGCAGAAACCCTAGTAATATAAAATCTTCACAATCAAACTTGTGCATTTTTAATTTCTAAACAATTATAAATGCTTACTGACTAAAGGAAGAAAACTTGGAGGCAATGGTAATGTAGATGGGTAATAAATGAAGGAAGATTAGAATAAAATAGTGAAGCATCAGTATAAATTTGCTGAGGGGTGAACTGAGCTGGAGCTTACCTCTCGTGTTGATGTTTTATGAAGCGAGTAAACAGCCGTCTTTGACATGGTTAAAGCAGCGCTGAGGAACTTCATATCCATCCCTTGAATAAACAGTAAAAACTAAATACTTTTAACATGAACTCACCTAAAACTGATTTATACAGAACATGCAGCCAAAATACAGTATTTTAAAAATCCTTATTGAACTCGTGCGATACAAGCAAACTATGGATGCCTTTGTCAATGTTGTTGCTGGTAAAGTTTGCCTTCCTGAATGCTAAAAAATGCTTTAAGTGTTTAAGTAATCCTTTCCAGACTGATTATTTGTAGTTAATTACAGTTCATGATGTAAGGAAGAGGGTGATTAGTTTTTGCATATGTAACCAGGGATGTTTAGAGTTTTTCTTTCCACATTGGTTTTGATCATTAGTAGAAAACATCTTTTTGTATTTACTTTAGTTATCTTTGTGTGATATTAACGTTTTTGATCTGTAGTGTGCAAAAAAAAAAAACGCAAATGAAAAAGGAAATCAAGTAGTTTTTCCAGCATCACCCCGTTATAATCAATTTCTAATTAATAAAACCAAATTACCAGTAACTTCTTTGTCGAGTTAAACTCACCTTGGTTGTGTTTTGTACCAAACGGTGGATTCATTATAACAGTGTCAAACTTTTGGCCATAAGCCTCAGCTTCCAGGTGACATAAATCACACTGGAGCAGATCCACGTTAGAGAGTTCAAATTCTTCTGCATTCCTTCTGAATATCTCTAGTGCGTCCTCGTCGATTTCAAAACCTACGCACAACCTGTTTGGAACAAAAAACATCAGCAAGCCGCTCAACAAGAAGGACTGTCACACGGGGATCTTTCTCTCACCCCGCGTCCAGCAAGGCAGCGCCGATGCTGAGGACTCCGCAGCCACAGCCGAGATCTGCCACCAGTTTACCCTCAATGTCGTCAAACGTGTTGTGAATCGTGTAAAGCATGCATGCTGTGGGGACAAAGGGAAACAATATAATTTATTTTTATTTATTTTTTTAATATTCAGTCTGCTCAGATGCTCACCAACTCACCTGCAATGTGAGGGCTGGTTGGATACTGCTCCAAGAGGATTTTTGGCTCCTCAAATGTGTCTACCTGCTGCAGGCAGCTTTCCAACTCCTTCAGCTTCATTTCGCGATACTGCGATTTTTCCACAGCAATGTAGAAGCACCGAGAGAAAACATTAATTCAAATAGTTCTGAATTACAGACAGCAAAAGTAAGCTTTTATGGTAACCCGCATGTTCCTCCTGGCGCACATCAAACAAAACAAACCCGAGTGCTTCTTCTTCTTCTTCTAATTAATCCAGTTTTGATACACCATTGCGCTCTGCAGCCCTCTACGGGTGAAAAATACAACTGCAGGCTGATTTCTCTGCTTTTGCTCTGGTTTTCTTCTGATATTTTCTGGCGCATTGCAGGTCAACTGCAAGACGCCTTACCGCCACCTACTGCAGTGGAGTGTGGATGGGAAATGATCAGAAAATTACAAACTAGGTGTTGATGACAAATTAAATTGTTATACAAAATTTCCCGTTGTGTAATTCAACTTTATCTGGTTTGATGCTTTTTAAAGTCTGGAAATCTCTTTCATATACATATCGATTCCATAAAAAGCCTGCTAACTAATTCTTGCACATACAATTATCACTCAAACCTGCTGAAAGTTTATCCATTGTTCTGATGGATATACCTCTTTGGTTTATCTATCAGTAGATGGATAAACATGCAACACCTTTGTGACCCATTCTAAAGCATATAATAAAATTTTCTTCCCCATGTTTCCCTATGTCTTTCTGATACTTCCTTATAATTTATAAATGCTGTATGTCTGTCTTTGTGTTTAATTTATTTCCCAATATTCCTATCAGGTTTTCTTAACCTAAATGTCAGTGACCAATTTGCATACAACCTTAGCTGTATGCAAAGGCAGCTGTTTTAAAAAGCAATGATTGTTTTTTATGGCTCTACATTTTTATTTTCTTCTATCCCCACATCCAGAAGCCAAAATAACCTCACTTGCAACATTTTTTGGGAAAGAGTTTTTTGTTTTTGCAGAATATGATAAATCATTCAGGGGTTGTTTTTTTTTACCTGAACTAGTAATGCCAGATATAACTCATATGCTTTCAGAAGCTATTATGATTCAGTTCTTCAATTCACTGCAAGAGTATTACTAATTCTACTTTAAAGACTGGGGAATTTTTTTTTTTAGTTTAATCTTCATAACTTTACTGTGGCTTGGAATGTAAACTATAGTTCTACTGCATATGAAGGTAACAGATTTTTTTTCTTAGAAAAATGCTTGTGAAAGTATTTTTGTGTTGTATACCAGTCTGAATTACTTACTTCTGATTGATTCATGGTTATCGTTGAATGTTTTAATGAATGTTTAATTATGTAGCTGAGCTGTTCTGGTAGACACCAATTTCTGTCTTCTGACAATTTCTGCAACATAGATTGGAATGTATGTTTTTACATGTCTCGACTTTATCCATGAGTTCAGGTTTTTGGAAAGAACAACTTGCCGTTGAAGGTCTTTCTGCATGAACTTTGAATGTCCTCTCCACGCATAGATTGTTTTATTTCCTGGTATTCGAACCTTATATAATCCTAAAACATGACTGATAGGTCGTTTAGTTTCTCTATAAATTACCCTCAGGTAGTGCGCTAAGTTATTTGTGTTTCTGTTTGCCCTAAGATGGACTGACCTGTTTAGAGTGTACCTTAGCTTCTCGCCCAATGAAGATGAAGATGGCCACTGGGCCCCCATCACACTACAAGGATCAGATGGATGGATGTTAAAAAAATTTGATTATACACTGACAAAGTAATCAATTAATATAATTGGCAGAGTCCTCTATACCATGCAAAGAAAATAGAGTATAGAAGATGGATGGATTAAAAGAAATAATCTTTTCAACTACACCTGGAATTCTGGTATGGCACATTATGTAAGGGGACTTTAAATATGAAAAATTATTTACCTATAATCCAGAAAATCCCCTCACATCTAACGCTGAACTCAACCCAGTTAAGAGAGGGTGTGCACACTTATTGTTGGTCACCGTTTGTTGATAATTATACAATAAAAATGCATTCTCACTATATTTATGGTAAATCCGTGAACTGGCAAGACTTTGAGCAGGGTGGGACGGTCCCAAACTATCAGTTGCCTAGAAACGCTCAAACAAAACATGACTTAAGATGACTGTGCATGAACTGAAGTAGTTACACAAATAATACGTGCCAGGCTTATCTATTTAAAAATACTCAAAGAGGGATGTCTATAGTGTTGTTGCAGTAGAAGAAAACAGAACATAATGTACTACAAGAAAATCGCTTGCTTGTAACAGCGAGTAGTCAGTTGAGCTTCCGGTATCGCGAGAAAGCCCGAGAATATGGAAACAAGACAACAAAAATAAATTTGTGGACAACAAGCCAGAGTGCATGATGGCGGCGTCGCTGCTACGCCGGGACAAGAGAGCTACTGCCGCCCACTTGAAGGAAGACTTAAACAGGACTGACAACAGCTCGGGACTCCGACAACTTCAGGACCTGCTCGACGCCGTGCTAAATCCCGAAAAACCAGCTGCGGACACAGAAGCCCTGGACTGGTGTAAATGTCTGATCGCGGGAGGCGAAGGTTTCGAGGAGTTCTGTAAAACCGTCCGCTCCTATGACAACGCGACTCTGTGCGGACTGGTTTGGACGGCTAATTTCGTGGCATACCGATGTCGGACCTGCGGCATTTCTCCGTGCATGTCACTGTGTGCTGAGTGTTTTAATAATGGAGACCATACGGGCCATGATTTCAACATGTTCAGGAGTCAGGCTGGTGGGGCCTGTGACTGTGGAGACAGTAATGTCATGCGAGACAGTGGGTAAGTCTTAGCTGCTCATGCTAATTGGCTAGCAGGAATCGTTCTGACAGGTGTTGCTGTGAAGTGAGCCAACCTAGCTGATAAAATTTTCCTATCAGGGCTTTCTGTGTCACTGTTTTGTGCTGTTATGTCGGAGATTTTATGAATTATTTCCAGTATGTTGTGCCGAACTCCCTAAACTAGGCAGGTAACTTTTACTGCTTAAAAATGGTTCGAATATTATTTAGCAATAGCTAGTCTGTTTATCTCTTTATTACCAAATGGTTACTGCCTAGATATAACAAACGGGCGACTAAACTAGATTATTTCTTCTGTCAAACTAGGAACTGCTTTTAAGTAAATGTGGTAAATCAGTGATAGTGGTCAATGTAATCGCTCAATGATAAAACTGTGACTGTCATTGTTAATTGGACCTTACCTCAGACAAAATTTATATTAGAAAGATTGTACCAAAGAAAATGGTTTGCCAAAAAAGAAGATAAAAAAATCCCAATATTAAAACGACCGGTGTAGCTATAATTTTAATAAAACGTATTTCAAATGCAGACAGATTATTTAGAAAAAAATACCATTGTTTCTATAATGTATCTCAAAACCTTATAACAAAATTTTTTAGCATGTGGTTAATTGAAATATATTAACAGATTTTTACTGGAAAAATTTCTGTAAACAAAAAGTTCTATTTTTACAATAAGTTTTTGCATTTATTGCAATTCTCAAAATTAAATGTAGACACTTTAAATAATTACATATAAATTTGCCTTTGTTGTGTATTTTACAGATAGTAAAGCATGTGTATTAAAAATATAAAATGCATGAGATTGAACCAAAAACGAAACAAAACTGGCTTAATCATTGTCACGGCAATAATTGGCACAATAAAAGTATTTATAGAAACTGAAACATTCCCTTCTAACTTACAAATGACTTGTATTTACTACTGTTATGTATAAATATATCCGTCTTTAATTTTCATTCATTTAGACATTAACAGCTACATGATAAGTGTTATTAAAATAGGACATAATAAAAATGACTTGGTTGGCAACACAAAGTCAGCACATGACATATGCATGACAGAATTACCTTGCTAGATGAAAGGTGTTGTAGGTTTCTTTCAGACAGTTCACTGTCAGTGCATAGCAACAGGTGGAGGAGGGGGCTTGCTGTGCTACTGTGTGCTTCGACCATCTTAAACTCAGGTCACTCTGGCACTTTCTTGGAATTTTTGATAAAATGACAGAACTCTAGGAATATGATTTAAAAATATAGTGCCTTTGAAAGTTTACTTTTGAAGAAATATCGAGATGCCTTGATGCCACTAACTGTCTTTGAGATTATATCTGCTGCCCATCTGTAGTGATAAATTTGAAGTGATGCCTTCATAAAGCAGATATAGTTCTGCTTGTAAAATATAGCATTCTTCTTCATTTGGGTGTATATAATTAAGCGGTTACAGGGTTTCCCTGTATTATTATTATTATTATTATTATTATTTTCCTAGAAACGTAAACAAGCAACGCTTAGCCTGGTGGCGGGGCTAGTAAAGCATGGCGGGCCGCCAGGCTTATAATACATTGGGGGAAACCCTGTTTATCTCTAAAGAAATTTCCTGGTGAGTGACTTGCTTATGTCATGACAGTCTTAAGCAACTTAAGGAAAGTATGTCCTAATCTTTGTTTACTATGGGTCAAATTGTACCGGGCAAGAAATACAACAAAACAAATCTTTTTTTAGTAGAGTACAAACTTTAAGCAAACCGATTTTTACATTTTGCAAGATTTTTTTTTTTTATCCGTCTAATTTTTGGAGTCTTGGGGAATGTTGGTATACATCTAAAAAAATTGGTGATTAATCAGAATCATCCAGATTTCCTATGATTGCCTTGGATCGGACGGTTCAAATACTTGAAAATATGATTTTTGTTTTTGCTTATTTATTAAGTTGCTTAAAATGAAGAATTCCAACTATTTTTATCTTATAAAAGCATCAGCTATTCATATACTTTGATGAATTTTTATTAGGGTTAATGAAAATGAGATTAGGATTTATTTTAAACTTGATGCATTCTTTAATGTACAAATGATGATAATTTTGTTACCTTTTTTTGCTTCAGAACTGCTTACTCTATTAAAGTACCTGTAGCACATTTTGTCTCTTATGCATTATTGTTCTAGGGAGATAAATCAGAATCTGTAAGTTGGGCCTCAAAGACAAACACAATTTGGTATCAGGAGGGGAAAAAGTGAGATAGGAGCTTCTCTAGGTATTACTAGAGCGAAACGATACCTAATGCAAGGCAACACCATATTGAGCTAACAAGAATGAGACAGGACGAGATTTTAATATTAAAAAAAAAAAAAATTCTATCAATCAAGTGGAATGGATTCTTTTACGAAGCTTTAGAAACAGCGCTGGGTGAAGTAATATTTTATTGTAAATCTGGACGGGCAGTGGTGTCCAAATGAATATTTTTCAAACGTGAGGGGATTATGTTCCCTTCACATATAATCATGCTGATGCCTCATTCATCTTTTTTTGTCTTTCTTTTCCAGTCAAAATCTTATAGAAGTAATTGCAGGGCCTTAGAAACTAATATGTAACAATCCCAATTTTAGGTTGGGAAGTCTTTAATACATACAGACGTTCCATATTGGCTCTTAAATTTATGGATTTTTCTTTATTCATGTATCTTTCTTGAATTACTCATCTATTAGAAGCCAGGATTAACTTTTGTCCTTGACTTGACAGCGTATAAATACATTTAAGTTTAACGTCCCCAGTTTAGGGAATTAAAACCAAATCATTTCTGTAGCAGTATTCAGTACCAGCTGCTTTGTCAGAAGAGTCTATATTTCATTTTACAAGGCTTTGTTTGAAAAATATGTATCTCATATTTAACTTATTGAATAAGATATGCATACTTTAAGTGAAGTAATTATATTTTCATTAATATGTAAATATGCATTCATGTTCTTTAAAAGGTCTTAAATGTAAGTTATTTGTACTTATTAAAACCCTTGGCTGTTATGGCACTGGACTTCATAGTTAAAATAAAATACATGCTAATATGAATGAGTGCAAGTCTGATTAGGTAAATATAATTTCATCCATGAACCGCAGCTAAGTTAGCAACATAAATGACAGAAAACATTTAATTGGTAATTAGTTGATTATTCAGCAGTTTTTGGACAGAAGGAACCATCTTATTAATCGTTCAAAGTTATGTGGTTGGGTAACAACTTCAAATTCATTCACAGTTGGCATATTTGTTCAGAATCATTTTAATTACAGTGGCTTTCAATAATCAAGAGATAAACAAATGTGCAAACATGAAAGAATGACTGAAAAATGCTTCTTTTGTGCCAATGTTTTTTGTTTTTTTTAGCTTATGTATCATTTATTTATCTTTGTATATTTCTTCACTGACAGGTTTTGCAGACGGCATAGGTTAAGAACCGGGGAAAATGTTCCCTCCATACCCCGAGATCTTCTCCTGATGTCCGAGATGGTTCTGCCTCGCTTCATCCTGTGCATCATTCAGTATCTGAGAGATGGATACATTGAACCAGGTGAAAACAGTTTTACCTCGAGCAAACTATTGGCATATGGGAAACCTTTCTTAGCTTTCAGATTTAACACGTCTGAAGTTATTAATTTATTCAGAATAACTTCATCTAATATTCTAATTTTAATTGGCTCTTAATATCACATGATTGTTGAAATTGTCTTCCTTCTATCTGGCTCTGCTGCTGTCTAGCTGTGGACACTTTTGTAAATTACATTTATGAGTTTTTATCCTGGTTAAATAAATAAAAAAGAAAAAAAGAAAAACGTCTTCCACTTTATAAAAGCTGTGTTTCTCTGGTTGAAAAATAATTACAAAACAGCGTTCATTATGCATACGTAATCTGGGCATTACACAATCGTGGTTCGGAAAGCGCTGGATCTTGTGACTTATGCTGCTTATCTCTGTTTGCCAGACACGTCAGCGGAGAGGGATCTCCAGAAGGTTCTTCAGCAGCTGGAGCCTCAGATCACGTTTTTGGAGGAGCTCACAAAGATGGGAGGAGCAATGAGGACAGTACTGACAAAGATCTTGACCAATCAGCAAACGTACAAGGAGCTCAGCATGGGTAACCGATTTGGCTTTAAGCATAGTGGATCTTTAGATGCCATGCTCCCTTCATTTAACTTTTTTTTTGTCAGTTTCTCAAGCAAATAATTCATTTGAACTTATGTGATTCACTGATGTTAAACGGTAAAGCTCCTGAAACTTTCAGCTGAGTGATTTTGTGCTCTAAAACTCCTCTACCCCCACAAAAATATACACGATTAAAATGCCTACCATTTAATATAGATGTTTTTTTGTTTTTTAATTTGTCCATTACATTATCAGTTACTGTTTTTAACTTGCTGTTTCAGGCAAAGAAGACAACTTGTATGCTAAAAAGAACTACGACAAATATTTGTCAGCACTGAAGAATTCAGATCTGGTGTCTGTGGAGGAGAAAAACCAAAGTGCTGCTGCTGACATTGCTGTTGGTGCTGAAGGAGGTGCCGGGGCAATGGTCCTGCTGGGTACGGTTATATTTATGTATCTGTTAACCGTCTAGAAATAATTTGGAAGTTTATAATGTAATGGTGTGATTTTTGATTTATGTGAAGAGGGGTGAGAGGAATGTTGGGGAAAAACAGCTGGGGAATCATAGTGTCTTTGGCTCATTTGTTGAAGTGATGCTAAACTCCTGCTGCCTTTGTTTTTTTATTTTCCTATGGTTTCACATGAAAATTACCTAAAAAAAAAATCAGATTTGTAACTCAAAAGATGCTAACATGAACTGCAGAGAAAATGTTTTTGCTGGGCTTCACTGAGCAGCAAGTACGTAGCCTCTGCAGAACCTGAGGAGAAACTTTACTAGCAGAATATAGACTTCCTAGCACAATATTCTGTTTGAGTTCAAATGCATAGGAATTGCCTTTTTGTTGAGACATTCATATTACTTTTACAGGGTTTCTCTGGGGTACTAAAAATCTTCAATTCAAGCATTTCAAATTTGGGCCTATAAAGTCTTAAAAATGTAGATTTTTTATTTTGTCATGTGTCTTTAATTTAATTACATCTCATTTTGTTTTTATCTGCTGCTTCTTTCATTGAAAAACCTTTCTGAAATGTTTTTAATTCATTCATTAAGCTCGAGAAATGTGTTGTAAATAAAAATGTTTTGGTTTTATGATATGAAAAAGCTCCTTGGCCCATGGTGGATGGCAACTAACAGCAGAATGAGATGTTTCCACTATTAAAACTAAGTTTAGCGTTGGCACTATTTAATACCTCAGCTCTAATTCCCAAAGGTTGTTTTTTTCCCCCCTTCTTCTCCTCAGTTTTCTGGTAAAGTTTCATTTTCTTGTTGCTTTTTTGTGGCTAAGAATTTTGACTTTGTTTTCTTAGGAACCACTGCACCAGGAAGCCCAGATGAGTCTGCTAAGGAGGTTCGTATCAGCATGCCTCAGTAGCTATTCCCCACTTACTGTCATCAAGAAAATGAATTATGTTTGTTTACTCCACTAAGGACTTAGTTTGTTTTGGTCTATTATTCTTTGTGGCTATTCAGTGTGATTGTTTTAGTACTAATCTAATTAACCTCCTAATCGGCTTTAAATATCTTATATTGCTTAACTCTTGCTTCATATTGTTTTTGTTTTCCTTTCTCAGGAGGATCAAGATGGAGGCCAATCTGTTGGCCAGAGGAAGAGGGTTAAACTTAGCAGCAGTACCAAAGGTAAATATCTGGGTGTAAAATAAAATTTCACAGTACGGGAACTAAATTGAATTATTCTTTGTGTTTTTGCCCTCAGATCCATACATTATTGATTCACTAAAGCACAAATGCTTTCTGGAAGAGTTGCTATTTTGGACAATAAAATTTGAATTTCCACAGAAAATGGTCACGTTCTTGTTGAACATGTTGCCAGATCAAGATTACAAGGTATTCGGTTTCCTGCTTTCACTTTTTTTCCAAGGTTTTATCTTCTCTCTGAACTTTACTTCGTGATTGTGTCTTTCCATGTAACGAAATAAACTTCTTACTTGCTCTGCTGTCATTTATAATATAGCTGCAGAAAAACAGGCACTGTCAGAACAAACAGACAGTAAGTGTGATTTACTTTTCCTTGCCAGATCACATTCACAAAGACGTTCGTTCAGCATTACGCCTTCATCATGAAAACCCTGATGAAGAGCCACGAGTCGGACACGATGTCCAACCGCATCGTGCACATTAGCGTGCAGCTGTTCAGCAACGAGGAGCTGGCCCGACACATGACAGAGGAGTGCCAGCTGCTGGACATCATGGTCACGGTGCTCCTCTACATGATGGAAAGTTGCCTTATCAAAAGTGAACTTCAGGGTAGGTTAACCAAATCTACCACTTGGCGTCAAGTTGATTTCACACGTTTTGATAGTACGACGATTGGCACAGGTACTCAGCTTTGATAACAATTCTTTTTGACATGACTGACAATTTTTAATTGCACAATACTTTATTAATCCCAAATGGAATCATATTGTTGGTTTATTGTTGTGTTATTGGATAAATAAAAACTGTTTGAACTTTTAAAATGTAGCAAAAACAAAGAAGAGGCTGAAGTGTCTTAGTAGAAATGCTCGTGTAAGAAAATTTACACTAAAATTGAAGACTAACGTAGGTCACATGATGTAAATGATTTTATTTAAAACAAAATCCAACAGCTATTTGTGGTGTTCAAACTGTTAATAAATAACTGTTTTTAAAGGGGTCCCAGATTTTAGTTGCAAACTCTACAGCCCACAAATACTGGGGATCCAATGTTTACTCTACTACATTACCCAGCATTTATTTCACTCCAAATAGTCCTTAGTGATGTGAATATTGGAAACACTGATACTATAATAACGATTATATCTACAACATATATTGTGAAGCTCTAGTTTTTTGGCCTTTAAGCTTTTCTAGCCTGTTCCTGTCTTGTACTCTTTGGATCTAGTGTTTTATAACAGCCATTACTTGAATTTTATAGAATTGCTGGTGCAGGCAGCTGTATTTCTCATTTTCTGCATGCATCACAACAGATTTGACATCCAAATCGTTGCACAGAATGCCTTAGAAATTTGTGATCTTAATTGAGGGAAAAATTGAGAGCAGCACAAAGGTCTAACAACTGGAGCTATTACAGCAGCTAACAAAGCTCCTTCATTTACATTTAAGACAAACAACACAGTTTTGAAGAAAAATATGCAGCAGATGTTTATTTGATCTCTGTGCTGTTGACATATCCTGAATATGACTTCAGCTTAAGACATCTAAGTGTACTTGTGGGATTTGCATTGTTGCATTGTTTGACTTTTTCTGTTTGTTTTGAACAATTAAATACATTCTACTAAAAGAAACCATATAATTGAAATGTTTGTTTTTTTTTCCTTTAGACGAAGAGAACAATCGCCATGTTGTGGTAAACTGCAGTGAAGCACTATTAAAGAACAACACTTACTGGCCCCTAGTTAGTGACTTTATCAACATCCTCTCACACCAAAGTGTAGCGAAAAAGTTCCTGGAAGACCATTCCTTGTTGATGCTCTGGATGAGCTTTGTTTCATTTTTTCAAGGTAAGTTTTTATTTATTTATTTATGGAATTTAATGGCATCTCTCATCTCTATGACCTGAATGTAATCGATCAGCTGTTTATGTCGCTGTCTTAAACTTGTTTCCCTTCACACTGCACCTCTTTTACTTTTACTTAATAACCAGACCTAACCCGACGCTTGAATTTAAAGAACGCTGTGGGATTTGGTGGTTATAGTCTGATTTTCATTTACTTTTGTCATCTTGGTTTCCACTAAAATTAATGAGTTTTAGAAAAAATAATGTGTAAGAGGAATTTCAGTCTGTGCTCCCCACTTTGCTATATGTAGTCGGTTAGGACCCTAAAAATAACATTCACCTTTGCACAGTGGACCTAAATATCCTCTTGCTGACAGCTTGAACATACTGTCACTATTAGGTTTTGCCCATGCTCTGCTCTCGCTATAAAAATGTTTAATAAAGATTTGCAGCGTAGATATTTCTGCTGAACAAATACCTGCAAATATGTTTTAATGACCAAGAGCAGTGAAAGTTAAAACTGCAGAACAAGACTATGCTACTTTTTTATTTTTCACCTTTTGGTTAGAGCATTGATTTAAATTTTGACATGTTTCTTTCTAAGGTATGAACCTGAATAAGCGGGAACTGAACGAGCACGTGGAGTTTGAGTCTCAGACATACTATGCAGCATTTGCAGCAGAACTCGAGGCCTGTGCACAGCCATTGTGGGGTCTCTTGACACACTGCAAAGTCAAAGTAAGTCCATGAAGCTTACTTCGCAGCTTTTTTGGCTTGGCTTCATGCCTTCACGTTTGAAGGCCCGTTGGCGCTTTGGACATACTATGCCTACATTTCTTACAGCCTCTTGCAAAATTATTAATTTTATTAGAACATTTTTGGTACTTAAAAGAACGATGGTGAGCATCCAGAATGCCAGAGTTATAGCAAATGTATGGGTGGTTGATTTAGTAGAATAGCCAGAGAAACGGAGAACCAGTGCTCACTGTATCTATTTTCCCTGTTTAATTTGGGCAGTCTGTATGCTCCTTGGGTAAAATTTGTTGTCAGCATACTTGCAGAGGAAGAACTATCAAGCATACGGATATGCAAGCCAGGAAGAAAAACCAGCCTGACCAGCCAAGAGGTGAACAGGCAATCAGCCAAAAAGGAAACATCTGTGTGTAGATGAACAAGTTGGAATACAAACAGGAAAAGCAAAAATCACCCAACATTCATTATTTAAAGAAAATACACACACACACAAGAAAACTTATTCATCATAGAATCCATCAAGAAAGGGAAAGGCCTGCATGTGATAAATCCACAAAAAGCAGCACATAATTGTGATGTAGAAGTAAAAGGTACATAATCTTGAACATCTGCTTTCAGTCCCGAGTTCATACATTAATGCTGTAGAGCACCTCTTTCGCTTGAGCCTTGTCAGTGTTTGGTGCCTCCATCAGCCTTTCTTCCAGGATTGTGGTATTTAGATTGATCTGTCTTCCCATCACCTCTGACCAGCTTCCCTGTCACAGGGAAGCATCTCCACAACATGACGCTGCCAGCACCGTGTGTCATGGTGGGAGTTTCTTTGCTTGGACTTCGGCATTGTTTTCTTTTTCTGCCAAAATTCATATCTGGCATATTTTGGGCCAAAAGAAACTCAGTTTCAGTCTCATGTACTAAAATGGACAAAACAAACTGTGATTAGGACTAACAGTTGCCACCTGAGCTGTTGATCTGTGCAGGTTCTCCAGAGGTACCTTGGGCCTCTTTACTAACTCCTATAATTAACTCTCTATTTCCCAGTACCCGTGTCTTGTGGTTTGTGGTTATGCCATCCTCTCTCCATTTCCAGATGATTAGTCAAGCAGAGCTGTGTGAGGCTTCAAAGCTTGAGAGATTGTTTGGTGCAAACTTCTCCCCAACTTTATCCCTGACCTGTCTGCTGTATTCCTTGGTCTTCATGATGCTGTCTGTTCAATATATTCTCTAACAAAGCTTTTGATTCTTGACTGACACTGTGACTTCTGAAGGCAGGTGCTTGGATTAGATTTTATTACACGGCTTTTAAGAGTAAAGTGAACTGAATATGAATGCATTCTGCACTTTTTTTTTTGTGGAAGATATTTTTAAAAATATGTAATTTCCTTCAGTTTCATGATTAGATGCTGCATTGCATTGGTTTATCTCACACAATCTCAGTATAATCTATTGAAAATTGTGGTGGAAGCATGACTAAGGTGTTCAATCCATAATGCATGATTCAGAATGGATTTTAATTTGTTATACTTGGTTAACAGGAGACCCAGGAATATACAAAAACTGTTGTTCGCTATTGTTTGGAAACACTGCAGATCTGGTTTGATGCCATTGGCTTCATTGATGAGGTGAGTTTCACTGTCACATTTTTGCTTTTGCAGACAAGTTTCCTTCTAAGTTTTTTTTTTTTTAATATTTCTTTCCTCATTCTTCACTGCACGTCTTTCCCAGCCTGCTCCGAATCAAGTGACGTTTCACCTGCCGCTCCACCGCTACTACGCCATGTTCCTCAGCAGGGTATGGCGGAGCTTTTTCCCTTCTAACGGCGAGTCTGTGATTTAGTTCTGCGCTAACTATTCGGTTACAAATCCGCAGGCTGTGAAATGTCAAGGGTTGGATTTGGACAGCCTCCTGCCTGACCAGGAAATGCTGATGAAGATTATGGTGCATCCACTCCAAATTCAGGTATGATAATGGAAAACCACAGATACACTTCTTTTTACTTCTTTTTTTTACCCGTCTACATCCAAAGTTAAAAAGTACTAATGTGTTGCTCAAAACATTTTTTGTTTACTCAAGGCGTGCCTGTCTGAGATCCACAGCAACATGTGGGTCAGGAATGGTCTGCAGATTAAAGGACAAGCTATGACTTATGTGCAGTCACACTTCTGCAACTCCATGATAGACCCAGACATCTATCTCCTTCAGGTTGGAAGCGAAGCCTCACAGTAACTACATATATTTTTTTCCTTCTGTTTTTAAATTATTTTTTGTGTGCTTATTATTATAGGTTTGTGCATCAAGACTGGATCCTGACTACTTCATTTCAAGTGTTTTTGAGAGGTGAATTGCCTCCCCTCCCCCTTATTTCTATTGTGCGGACAGTATTTTCATTAGTTTTTAAACTTTCCGGAATGTGGAATCACCTCATCTTCTCTGGTACAGATTTAAAGTGGTCGACCTCTTGACGATGGCTTCTCAGCACCAGAATGCCGTGTTAGATTCTGAGCAGGAGAGGCCGATGCTGGAAGGAGCGTTGACGTTTCTGGTCATACTGACGAGCCTTCGCATTCATCTGGGTAAGCAGTGGAAAACAGGATTCCTCCTTTCTGCTGGTGACATGAGAGTAACAATGAGTTACAGTGTGCTTAAATTAGATTTTAAATCTAAATATATGCTTTAATTAGCTATTTTTAAGGAATTAAGGGGCAGCATCTCACACTTTTTTTTTTACACTTTATATTTGTTATTTTATTGCACAAACTAAAAAAGGGAGTCTTACCTTATTTTAATGACTGTCATAAATGATATGATCTTGTAAAATTAACGATTTTTTTCTGACAGGCTTTGTGTAACTTTAATCACCTTCTCTCCTGCTGATGTTTTCTAACAGGAATGACGGATGATGAGATTCTTCGGTCCGAGATGGTCTCCCAGCTGTGCATGAACGACCGAACCCACAGTGCACTGTTAGATCTTGTATCCTTCAGTACTTCACAAATACGCTAAAGACCATTATATTATCCATAAGTATTTTTTGTTTTCCCTTAAGACTTTTCTTCTAGATTCCAGAAAATCCCAACCCAAAGAGCGGCATTGTTCCAGGTAGCTGCAGTTTTGAGGACGTGCTCTCTGCTGTGGCTGATTTCAAAGCGCCTGTGTTTGAGCCCGGAGGCTCCATGCAGCAGGGCATGTACACACCTAAAGGTAAGAGGGTTGAGTTGATGAAAATGTGCAAAGGAGAAACAGACAATGGTATCAGGTGCTGTGTGTCTGTATATGGCACAGAGGTTTTTGGAATAAAATCCAAACTGCATAAACAGAGCCATGGCAACAAGAGAAAATAGGCAAGTTATTAAAAATATAGCATATGTACAATTTTCTGCATTTCCAAGTTTTCTTTGCAGAAGTTTTGTAGACGCTCAGAGCTTTCTAAAATAACTCCTTAGACATCTATAATGGCACCCAGACCATGGATTTTATCTCTATTGCAGAATAACATTTTGGATGCTTTACAGTGATGGATTGTTGTTTTGTTTTTGGAATCAATACGAAGGTACTCTTCTGTTGTCTGAACAGGTTATCAATAGAAGAGGCTGTTAAACAAATGGAGAGATTTTGGAAGTGAGGACTTCCACCTAACAGAAAAAAAATACTGCAAATCATTACATCATAAAATGTAATGACTAAATCATTACATTTTATGAACAAATCACAATATAAAATTGAAATGTATATTAGACATATGTCTTGCAGCTGAAGGAGGAACAGCTTACCCTAGTTCAACTTGGAGGTGAAGAAAAGTAAGGTAAAAATAAAAGTGAGAAAATCTCCTGGTCCTTAGGTTTGAAGTAATCCAGTTATGATGCAAAATACCCCCGTCCGACCCCAAGGACATTAGCAGTATTCTACAACGACTTCAGTTTTTAGAAACAAAGATTCAACGGCTAGAGGTGAATCTTACATAAAGAACAGGGATTTTTTTGTTTCAGTCAGAAACTTCTCATCAGAGAGGTCAGAGG